GTGGGAGGTGGGAGGACAAACAACACAGGTCAACCAAGTGCTACATTCTGAAGCTGCTGTGCGAGCTTAATACGCTCATTAAACTAACTCATTTAATTCTCATTAAACTCAGGGCTCAAGGTTACAAGTTCCAGGCGCACTCTCTACCACCTACTGGGCTCTGCATAAGCATGCCCTCAGCTTCCTTCACTGCAGGTCAGCCTACTATCCAAAGCACCTCACATTGCTCATACAATATAAAGTTAGCCCATTAGCACCATTCTACCCCTTGATATACTACACATATTTTACAGATTACTTAGAATATTTGTTCTATATCTTGACTAGAACAAGGCAGAGTAATTCTAAGTACATATGAGGTGAACAGCCCCCTGGGGGGGGAAAAAAAAGATCTAAGTAGAGGGGAAGAAAAATGTCTGAGCAAAGCTCATGCCAAAATAAACCACTGACTTGCATTAGTCTTTGATGTGCAACCCACATCTAAGTAGTCCTACTAGTAACATTACTCCTAATCCCTGATAAGCTTAATGCTTGCAGTTTTGGTCCCAAAGGGACCCTTTTTATAATCAAAGCATTTAATTACATGATACATCTAGTAAATTTTTCTTTGAGGTATCCAATAACAAAGTTTCACCTGGGTCAAAAATACTTCCAACAAAACCATCTCATATGCGTCATCCTTCCATCCCTTTCTTGCTATAATAATTCATTTTTAGATTAACACTTGAATTTAAAACATCCGTGATGGACTTCTCTACTTTTTATTCACCCTCCAATACCAATTACCACAATTAACTGTATACTTTATTGAAACACTAAAAATAATTTTGTATCACTATTTTAAAAAAAAACGTAAAAAAATCTCAAGTGTATGGTACATTAAATATTTGCATATTTTAACATATCTAAAGTGGTGATATGTGGAAGGTGTGTGTGTGTGTGTGTTGGTGTATGAACATGAATACCTCCCCAGGAGATTCTGTATTAGTAAGTCTGTGGTGACCATCCCCACCCCATATTTTCAAAAAGCTCCACAGGTGATTCTTCTGTCACACATTTCCTGGCTGAGAACCACAGAGAAAGTGTATTTCATATAGCTTTCAATACACATGCCCTCATTTAAAGTATGCCCCCAAAGAAAACAATTTCTGCCATTAATTTTAAATTCTAGTTCTAGAAAGTTTTGCTGGATCAAGGTATCTTGTTTTTAATCTCCCATTAAAAAGTGTAGCAACCTGACTTTTTTTTTCAGAAGTAGAAAATAAAATTTTTAAAGCCTACAACTTAAGTTAGTTTAAAAGATGGTTCCTATAAAATCACAGCATCATCAATTAAGCAAACATTTATAATTCTCTGGCACACTAATATTTATGATTTCTTACATAATTTTATTTTGCCTATCTTAAAAATGAATATACACTTGCTCTCCTCTTCTTATGTAAAATATTTAAAGAGTAAAATGTTAATGCTTTTTTTCTTTGAAAGAGTTAAAAGCCCTTAAAACATCTTATTAATATAGCACCCAATAATAACGATGAAGGCACATAAGGTACAACAAAATTATTTTTAATCAAATGTTAAATTTTTTTCATTAAATGTTGTGCCCATCTAAAATATATACAATGACAAAAAAAATCAGAATTTTTCTAAATCACTTACTAAGGGAATATACATATATGGAGTATATATATATATATATATATGCACCAAAGAAATACCATATTTCTTTGATCCTAAGACACATTTTACATTTTGACATTTCTGAATTACAAATGTGTCTTATAAATCGCTGGCATGTCATATTGGAAGCATTTAAAAATTTCTGAACGGTGCTTCTTACAATCAATGATACCTTAGATCTGATGAACTAGTGTTTATAAAAAAATACTTTTTCAAATTAAAAGAGGTAACTTTCTTTTTAAATGTAACGAACTGTCCCATTCCCAAAACAACCCCAAATTTGTGAAGAATGGCCAATAAATTTGGTGAAGCAACTAAATTACCAGAACAAAAGCAACTGCTCTGGTAAGAATGTAATCGTTTAAATAATAAACAAATTGTATTAATTAAATATTATATGAAGTCATTTCCAGAGTTTTAAACAAATAGTTTTATACTATTCCATCTTCCAATGCTTTCTAAGTATTCTGCACAGCCTACACATTGAAATAAAATTAAAATAAAGGAACATTCCACCTATGATATGCTGTAGATAAAGACTACCTTGCTTTAAAATAAGTTTCTATCTACAATATAAAATGATCAAAGTACAGTATATGCATTCATGCTAAGAACAGAAGCCAATGTTTAATGAAATGTTTAAACACAAAAAAAATTTAGAAATTAATGTCTATTAACGCTGCAATCTACTAATACCACACTAGGTCCTATCATTCTCTCTCTCTAAAATATCACAAATCAAAACACTATGTGACCTCCTGTCTAATGTAATTACTGCCTGCAGCACTTCAACTGTTTTATTGAAGTATTTAGGTACTCCTTTCATATTTCTAACTGCTAGCATTCTAGCGACAGCAGTACTGTGATCAAAAGCGTCAAAAATGTGATAGGTCTTATGTCAAACTTAGCAAAGTAAGACAATTAACTTTTCTCTCCACCGTTTAAAAGAAAAATAGTGAACGTAAATATCAATTTTGGAAATTCAGTATGAGGATGAATAACATCCTTTCACTCAAACATTACACAATACAAGGATAAAGTGAGCCTAACTACACATAATTATTTTTTAGCTGTTTTAATTAAGCATGTCACACATTTCCAAGATGGGTTTCTAGGAGACAGTACTGACAACTGATTAGGTAACTTCTACCATCAGAATCATCAAACAAGTGCAATACTTGTACACATTTTATTTTCAAGTTTGCACCTGAAGGTCCAAGGGTGATAAAAAAAACTTGGGATCAAAAGTCACTGAAAAGTCTCACTTTCTTTTTTATTGCTACTTAATCCAAGTGAATGTCACTTAATTTTGATAATGATAAATGTAACTAAAGTAGTTTGAGAGAAATCTCAGTTAATGTAATTTCCTTAAGGACAAGGCTAAATCTTTCCAGAATATTAAAACTTTGTACCAATGTCACAGTTTTTCCCATTACCCCAAGGAAATGATCTGAAACCAACTCGAAATTATTGGACTGAATTCAATTACCCTAGAAATAAACACCAAACTCCCCCTCTCATCCACTTTTCCAAAAAAACAAAATAAGTAACGTACTATTTCTATTTCAGAACCTACAAGAAGAAAAGACTTTATTTTTGGCGAGAATCCTTAAAGATCTATAGATCATCAGAGGGAAGCAAAAACCACCCAACGTTCAATGGCTGGCGTACTCCATCATTTCTTCTGGTGTGGGGTGGGGTGGGGGGGCTTGACAAATGTAACTTAAGAATTTTAGGTAAATAGAACCAATGAGGAATTACTGGAATAGGAGACAAAGCAACTGTTCATGGGACCAAATGAAAGCCATCATTAGAAACGGAAAAACACCAATGGTTTTATATATATGTGTATATATGTAAAACCCAAAGGAGAAACAAACAGCAAATAAATGAAAAGCAAAAGCAAAAACATAATAATAATAAATAAAACAGGAAACTTATCCCCAACTTTTCTGCTACTCCGTTTACCTTGGAGGCTAATCTGAACAGCATTATGCAGAGCCTACAAAACACATGACGGACACATTGTTTCTGGTATACAAGTTAATGTTTTAAAATCCACCAACACTACTCTACATTTTGTGCAACTGAGAAATTCACTTCAGGCAAGTGACCAGTAAGTACTTCAGTATAAGCACTATCTATGCAGAATAGCAAATAGTGTGAAACAAAGCAACGCAAGCATTTACGTGGAATTCAGCTTGATGCTAAATCTGGCTTCATGCTTAACTGTATTAAAAGAGAACGGCCAAACTGCCAATGTATTTCTTTACAGTATTTCTTATTTTACCATCATAAAGGCTAAGAGCTGTAACTATGAGCAATGTCAATTAGCCAAATTGCTCTTATTTTCTATCCAGTTTTAAAGAATATTTTATTATCTAAACTACCAACTTCCTATTTTTCTCTGTATGTGCATGAAAATAGACGTACAGAGAAAGAAAACTCTACGTATGACTTATGCAATAAATATACACAGATATTACACACATACTAATGAGACTGCATGATTTTTATATCAAAGTACACGCTTTTTTCAACCACATGGTTCTTTGTTGTTGTTATTACGAGTTAATAGAAAAATTCTGCAACAACTAAGCACATGCTGCTAATGATCCATGGTTTTAAGAATCTGTAGGTTAAAAAAATACAATTCCTAGAACACTGTTATCAAACAAATAAGTTTTATTGGCATCTAAAAACAAAATTCACCCAACATTGAAACGTACTTTAATATTTATGTTGTTTTCTTTTTTTCTTTTTTCTTTTTTACTCACTGCAGTATGAGGAACAAATCACAAACACTTACTTTGGAGAAACAGAGACCATAGTGTAGATTTTACAAAATCACTTTTTAAAATCTCTGTATTGTGCTCCTCAAATATCTAGAGCCAGTCTTTGCATAAAATATCACAGCTTTGTCTATTACCTTAAAATTCTGCAGCAGCCTAAAGATATGGATAAGATATACCACCGTTTGCTATTTTGAAATATATCTATTACCATATCCAACCTAATGGTAGTATCTAAAAAATTCTTTCTTCCATAGGAAGTCTCTGACAAGCTGTTATTCATTTCCTTGAAGTTAAAAGAATCTGGGGCAACATTTATATTTTATCAGAAAAATAAAAAAATGTTTACCTACCATGTTCATATTAAGAACAATGTCTATACAAGTCAGTTGTACAATTATTTTAAGAGAAAGGTGAACATGAACATCAGATTAACTTAATTCTGGCAGACAAAAGTGAACAACTATGGTCCAGTCAGCCATTAATCTATTACAGAGAGATGACAACTTTACAAAATGTATCTTTTACCTACTGAGTGATGATTATGTCCCCTCAGTTTCTGTGCTTTCTACCACTGGTTCACTCTCTATATCAGCAACTGTGTCACTCTTCTCCTTGTTTATTTCACTTGAAGATGTCAGTTTTTCATAAAGTTCAGGATCACTCTGTGCTGGTAAAGGTGGTGGCTGAGCATGTCTCTCGGTATTTTCACCATTAACCTGAGGCACATTATCACCTTTTCGCTGAGAAGTGGCCCCTTCAAAAAAATCAAAAACCCGAGCATGAGGAGGGGGGACCCAAGTGTTTTGAATTCTATCTCGTCCAAAACGACTTCCATTAATTTCTCTGCAGAAATCAAAATCTCTGTCATCCCTATCCCTTTGCCTCTCCCAGGGTCTTCTGCGGTCATCAAAATCTCTGTGAACTTCTTGTCCAAATCCTCTGTTCCAAGGACCACTTCTAGGATCAAACCGATAGTTTCCAGACCGAAATCTACCTCTTTCTTCATGTAAGCCTTTTGGACCACCATAGACAGGCAGAACCCGATGCTCTCTCTCGTCAAAATCTCTATGCCCCCAGGGCTTCTCTTGAGTAAAGCCAAAGTGGTCTCTTCGACCAAGATGATCTATGCCTGGCCTCACAAGATTCTCTCTAATATCTACAGGAGGTCGTCCAAAGTGATCTCTACCGTCTAACGGAGGCCTTCCAGGACCTTCTCTTGGATCTACAGGCCGTCCAACCACATCCCTAACATCCACCGGGGGAGGTCTACTAATGGTTTCCCTGGTTTCTATGGGAGGAAACCGGTAATCTCTATCTCCTTCCTGTTGAATGTTATCATTCCCAAGTGGTATCCTTTTTTCTGGATTAGCAACGTTGTCTACACTTTGTCTTCCAGGAACTAGAAAAGGTCTTTCAGGTGGACTAAAAATATCTCCTGGAGCAAAAGGACCACGGGGTGGTGGATGAAGAGCTGAATCAAGCACCGCTGGGGGAGGGAGTCCCCGCTGAGGTGGAATTCCAGGCTGCATTAAAGGGAATCTTGGTCCAGGTGTCTGTGGTATTAGTCCTGGACGAATGTCTAACATTGGCATTGCAGGCATCCTTTGATTAGAAAGATTTAAAGGGGGTAAATTTTGAGGCCCAGCTGGTGGCTGTGTTCCCAAAAGTCCAGAAGTATTTGGAACACTGGGTGGCTGTACTCCCATAAGTCCAGAATTGTTAGGTATATTTGGGGGTAGCATGCCCAGAAGTCCAGAACTACTTGACACAGTTGGTGGCTGTATTCCCAAAATTCCAGAGTTACTTAGAATATTTGGTGGCTGGGCTCCAATAATCCCAGAACTATTGGAAACATTAGATGGCTGGACTCCAAGAATTTCATTATTACTTGATACATTTGGTCTTTGGACTCCCAGAATTCCAGAATTGTTCGTCACATTTGGCGGCTGTCCTCCTAAAATTGCAGAGCCACCTGAAACATCATTTGGAATCACTAAAATGGAAAGAAGAAAAATAACACAAACAATCATTCTGGTGTGAAAAGGAAACTATGTTTATAATTATTAATGCTATAATTTCCAGCAGTTAGTTTAATCAGCTACTTGTATCCCCCCAAGAATCCACAGGTACACTAGATATTAAAAAATTAAAGCTAAAATTAATACCATACGTAGTGAAATTTAATATTAAAACATAAGTGGGGCTGCTACCTAAAATCTTTACATGAATCTTTTTAAGTTAAATAAAAATATCAGGTTTTATACTGATTCTCCACCTTTAACAGAAGTCTTTCTAAAGTACAAACAATTCTTAATATACTAACAGTGGTGCCATAAAAGAAGGACTTTGGTCCTGAAGATCCAGGGGCAGGACAGGAATAAACACACAGACGTAGAGAAAGGACTTGAGGACACCGGGAGGGGGAAGGGTTAGCTGGGACGAAGGGAGAGAGTGGCATGGACATACACTACCGAATGTAAAACAGATAGCTAGTGGGAAGCAGCCACATAGCCCAGGGAGATCAGCTCGGTGCTTTGTGACCACCTAGAGGGGTGGGATAGGGAGTGTGGGAGGGAGACGCAAGAGGGAGGAGATATGGGGATATATGTATACGTATAGCTGATTCACTTTGTTATACAGCAGCAACTAACACAACAATGTAAAGCAACTATACTCCAAGATGTCAAAGAAAAAAAAAAAAAAGATGTATAGTGTAGCCAAAAGAACACTGAGCTTGCAGGTTTAAAAAATCTAAAAAAGAGAGTTTAATTCCTGGCTCTGCTACTTAAAGCCTGTGTGTGACATCATGCAAGTAAATAAACTGCTTTACGGTTGCAGGAAGGAAAAAAAAAAAAAAAGGACTCACTGCTTTCAAAACTATATTTATCTTCTAGACCTAGCTGGGTATCTGGTAGTAGTTACTTATAACTAATACTTGTTTGTTTTAATCTTTCTGTAAGTATACATATTTTGTGCAATCTTATTTTGATAACACATTAAAACAGTTCCAATAGGCCAAAAACAGGAGGAGAAGGAGTCTTAATGGAAAGGTGTCAAAATCTATACTATCCTGAAGAGAATGCCAAATTTGTTTTTAACAGGAATTTTAGGAGATAAATGTTTTACACATTCATGGCACCTAAGAATTAAACACCAATATAGAGAAGTAGTGATTATGATTTAGCTATGTATCTCTGGGGATTTCTTTTTTCTTTTTACCTGATCTGGTGTTTTCACCAGAAGAAATCTGGTGGTCTATAAGATGAGGTACTTTTTCTTCAGGCTCTGCTTGTTTAGTTGGAGGATTAAAAACACTTCCAGCTGGCAGAGTGGAAGTAGCAAGACTGCTGGCAACAGAACCACCTGGCAAAACAAGGCTACCAAATCCAACATCTTTCACAGTTTCTGGAGTCATAGATAATGGCGGCTGCACTAAAGCTGTTTAAAGAAGGAGAATATATATTTCAGATTTAATTAGCTAATCAATTCATGTGCTAGGTAAAAATATTAAGTATGACCAACACTGGTCTTGCCAAAGTTTTAAATGACTTCCTATCCTCTTTCCCCAATTATTTGGTAAGACTGCTCAGTTAACATGACATATGTGAATTCTCTTCTGGTCCCTTTATTTCGTTTATAATGAAAACTAACTTCTGGCAGCTTGAGTGTTTCACTTAATGGCATCTCTGTATCACCTAGCACATTATATAATAACTGATGCTCAAAGTGACAAATGAGTCATCCTGAAGAAGCTAAATTATATTTAGAAAGCTTCATTTTTTAAAAATAGGGAAAAACAACAATTTTTAGAAATATTTTCAAGAGAAATGTTTAGTAAAATAAGGATCCATACTTAAGAACAAAATCCCAGCAATTAAAAAAAAATCATAATTTTTCAAGGATGCCAGTATGGGAATATCTAAATATAGAGAAATGATTGACGAAAACCAACAAATATGAGAGTGAAAATCTGCCCAATCCCGTTGAATCTGTAAGTACGAGGGTCTTTACATTCACTACCATTTGTCAAATGAGGCAGGAAACTCATCAGGTGAGAACTACACATAAAAAGGTAAAACCATTTCCTTTTTATAAAGATATAAAAAAGGCATAAAGAACGGGTAGAAAAACTCTTCTGTATATGTCACCTGTATGTTAAAAAACTAAGCTAGAGGAGTATAAAAATCACACACAGAATTTCTAGTCAAATTTATTTCACAACACTACTAAATCATGTACTTTGGGATTTTAGAAACTGTTATCCTCACATTTAACTCTGGACTACCTAGACAAACCGTTAGCACAGAACAGAGCTGTAAAATTGGGATAAAAATCAACCGGGATCATGTATGGGAATTATGAGAATTAGATAAGACAGTGTGAACAATTAGGGGAGCAGCTGGCACACAGTGGTGTTTCTCCTTCTCCTTTAATTGACCCTCGGTTTTCCAAAATGAACAGTGTAAGGAGAAACAACTGGGAGGGAGGCTCTAAGTAAGGTGAGTCTCTGTGAATGGTGAATTCAGAAACGGCTTCTGAACACTTTTCTAATTTTCAGAAAGAATAAACAATTCTTCCTAATTAACCAACAGTAACACAAAAAGGATTCTAATGTTGTCTAAACACTGAAGGAGAGAAAAGAGTTTAAAAATGTAAGAAAAGTGGGTTATAACACCAAAACGTAAAACTGTATCATATACACTCTCTTTACAATAAAGTCCTTTGGTCTAGTATTAGGCCAAAAAGCTCTCAAAAACTGATGCAGTCATCTCAAAAGAATAGAGAAGTAACATGAAAGGCTCTTACTGTCCAAAAATGAACAAACTGAACTTCAAAAAGAAAGGTGAATGCAACCACTTGGAAGTAAAAATGCATTAATCCATAAACACTACTAAAAGTGAAGGAGAAAAAAGTAGAGGGAAGGGAGTGGAGAAGGAGAAATAAGAGAAATCCTCCCCCACCTTCAGTCACTGGATATCACAGGTAATATCCATAGAACTCATTACTCTGAAAAATTGCACTTACAGGCAAGAATTTAGCTTCTCCTGTACAACTGTACTTCAAGGTAACTAAATACTACTAGTTGATAAGAGAAAGTTTTTCTTTACAGAAAAAATCCCTGCTAAGAAATGTGGAAGGAATTACAAAATTTGGAAGGTCACCACTTTGCAACTAATGAAAAGCAGACTCAGCAATAATAATCAAAAGATGAAACCATCTGATGAAAATTTGAAGGGCAACTTTTTTAAATGACCAGGTCCCACTATCTGAATGCTCTGATCCATTATGACATCATTAAAAGTGGGACGGGCTTCCCTGGTGGCGCAGTGGTTGAGAGTCCGCCTGCCGATGCAGGGGACACAGGTTCGTGCCCTGGTCCGGGAAGATCCCACATGCCGCGGAGCGGCTGGGCCCGTGAGCCATGGCCGCTGGGCCTGCGCGTCTGCAACCTGTGCTCCGCAATGGGAGAGGCCACAACAGTGAGAGGCCTGCGTACCGCAAAAAAAAAAAAGTGGGACATGAAGGCACTGCACAGGCTCCTGATGTGATATAATATCAAGTCCACAGCACCCCACTTGTTAAGTATTCTTATCAAAAAAGTTGAAGTATATTCTAAACAAGCCTATGGTGCTAAAAACTTTCTATTTGCAGGAGATTCAAGGAAGATACCACAAAGAAGCAAAAAAACCAAACCCATTATTTGGGATCTTGCATACAGAAGTGAACTGCTTTTCAACAAGTCAAAGACATGAAGCATTTTTAAAAAGGGGGGTGTGGGTGGGGCTGTTCTAGATTAAGACATTTTATACATAAAACAAAAAACACAAATTTGATACAACAGAGCAAATCTGAACTGTCATATGATACTGTTAATTTGTTAGAAATCATTTAACCCCAAAAATGCATTTGTCTGAAAACTTCCATGATAAAAAAATTAACAATAATTCACAAAAATGAGAACCAACACATTATCACTATCATAAAGAAAGAAAATTCTTAAAGTAGAAAACTCACATGTTGGTACTACTGGTGGAATAGTAGGTGGTGGTACAACAGGTGGTGGAACTGGAGGTGGCATGAAACCTACATGGAAAAAAAAAAGACCAAAAATAAAATAACAAAAAGTGTTACTTTCTTTTAAATCAAACATTCCAACAGCTATAAATGAAATCCTACATTCTTAAAACAGTCATTACTACCTCATATTTATGAATATATTTTCCATTTAAAAAATTACTTTTATATACACTACCTTATTTGATCCTCCGTAAGCTAAGTAAAGCACAGAGAGCCCCATCATGAGCATATACTACTTATTTACTTGGCATGCTCTATGCTGCTGTAAAATCAACGATTAAGTCAAGCTAGGCAACCTGTTTATATGTTAGCATGGTGACTGTACGGGAAGTTAAACATTGTATTTCAAGCGGCTGACAACATATGCAATAATGTCATCTGTAAAATGTGCTATTGTACTTCTCTGATGTATATGCTGTTTACCCACTATATCAGAATACTTTTATTAACCTTGGATGTTACATTTTATTTTGAGCACTGAAACAAATCTTAATAAAAAATAAGGAATAAATAAAATAAATTTAATATTGGCTGTTTTATGATTTTAAATATCATATGATCAAACTATAAACCTGCTTCCCTGCATTTTTAAAATATAGAGCTACCATTAAATTCCAATAGAAAATAGTGGCTAAGAATAACGGGAAAAAAAGATATGTGGTTTTCAACAAATGAATGCTAGATAAAGACTCTATAAAATCCATGTGGTATGGTTTTTGAAAAAATCATTTAAAAATACCTTCTGAGAAAAAATTTTAATTTTCAATCACAAATACAGATTTGTGATTGAAGATATCTGATGAGTAGTTTTCCAATATTTAAAATATTAAAAGATAAAGTTCTTATTAAAATCTGCATCAATTTCAAATTATGTATTAAACTGTAATTTAAAAAATTTACATTACATGACAAATTACAACCGTTTTCAGACAATGAATTTACTTTTTGGCCTTGTTGACAGTTTTTAGGAACTCTATTCAATGACTAAGAACTTAAATTACAGAAGTCAATTCAGTACTTCTTTTCTATAGTACACAAATAATTCATGAAGTTCAAAAAAAATAGTTCTGAAAAACAACATATATCGTTTGATCCCTTGTATTATCTCTCTCCTTTATTTGTCTAAGTCTTCCACGATCTAATACGAAAAGCTCTATCTCTAACCTATGTAAGCAATTATTTATATTTAATTGATAAATGTTAAGTAACCTATAGTTTTTACCTAGAAACGCTTCAAGGAACTTGTTTATCTATAATTTATTAGGTCAAAAAAAGTATTATGAATTCAATTAGCATTTTAAGATATACTATAATTTCTAATGTCAAAATGGAAATCTAATGATTTTTAGGAGGACTAATCTATATAATTTAATGCATACTTTCTGATGAATGGGTGATAACTACAGAGAACTTTTATATAAAAACTTCAACATGAATTTTAAATCATCTTAAGGCATTTCAATGATTTTAAAGGATTCCATTTCTTTTCTGTCAGTGCTTCTTAAAGTGTGGTCCAGCAACGATACGCATCAGCTGGGAACTTGTTCGCAATGCAACTGTCCTGCCCCACCTCAGTTCCACTGACTCAAAAGGAGGCTGGGCCAGCAACCTGTGCTTTAACACGCCCTCCAAGTGATTCGCATGTAAGCTATGGTTTGAGAATCACTGCTCTACAGCGTTTAAACCTGGAAAAAGAACATTTTAAATGATATTCTAAATAGAGTTGAAACGATAAGATGAAAATTTCTTACCAGGAGGTGGTTGTGAAGGGTTAAAACTTGCGCGGAGAAAAGGCGGTGGAGGAATTGGACTGAATCCAGGAGGAGGAACTGGCATTGACACAGGAAATGCTGGTGGGACTAAACTAACTGTAGGCACTGCTGGAGCTACTGGAATCTTTTGTGGATAGAAAATAAAAAGTCCATGTATCATTTTATCCATCTGCAACGATTACATCTTAGGACAACCAAAGATAAATTATTTCTGTTTCTTTTATAGGAAAGTAACAAATATCATTATATTAAGTTGTTTTGGTTTTTTTTTTTCTTCCTTTTTGTATTCTTATAAGTGAACTTACTTGAGGTAAAAGCAAGACAGTATTTTTCAACAAACAGTATGTGTAGAGATTGTGAAATCTACCTTACATTCGAGTGATGTAAAGATGTGGGCACCTACTTCAACAGTGAATAGCATGCTCGATTTTACACTGCCATCTCCTACTATGTTTATAATACCTAGCTATATTATGCGATCTAATCACCATTAGGAAGCATGTCACTAACAGCTTTAAAATGGCTGAATTTCTCATTAATTTGTTTTCTACTCTTAATCATAAATTCTTTTACTCATCCTAGGTACAACAATTCCCAAATATTTATCTGTATTATGGCATGGCTGTACCCCTCTCCTAAAGTTCACACTGTATCAATGGTCTATTCAACATCTCAACTTTGCTGTGTAGTAAGACACTTCAAACTTCACACGCATAAAACTGAACTCCCAACTGTCCTTCCCAAAACACACTTCCACAGTCTTTTTCATTCTCAGATAATGGTAACTCCATCTTTCCAATTTCTCAGACCAAAAACCTTGCCTCTGCTCTTCCTCACAACTCAAATCTAACCACGCACACTGGCCACACCATGACAATACACCTAGGATCTGACGACTTCTCGTTGCCTTCACTGCCATCAGTCCAGCCTGAGCCACCATCATCTCTCACCTGGATTGCTGCAACTTTTAACTGGTCTCTTTGCTTTTATCAATGCCCACTATTCTATTCTCAAAATAGTTGCCAGTGTAATCCTTTAAAACTCTAAGCCAGACTGAGCCACTCCTTTCTTCAAAGTCCTCTAATGGCTCCCCATCTCAGAGTGAAAACCGAAGTCCCCCTAGAGGTCTCACTTACACTAAGTTGCCTCTCACTCACTTTATTCTTGTCCGCTTGTTATTCCAGGAACACACGAAGCCTGCTCCTGGCTGCAGGCCTTTGCACTGGTTGTTCCCTCTGCCTCTAACGCTTGCTTCAGATAGCCACGTGACTAATTGCCTCAGCAACTTTAAGTTGTGGCTCAAATGTCTTGTTCTCAATTAAGTCTACCTCACCATTTTATTTAAAATTTTAAACACCTACCTAGGCACTCTTGATGACCCTTGTACTACCTTCTCCCCTCCACAGTATCTTATAAACTTATTAATTTTATATTTTCTGTCTCCCCTATTGAGAACAAACTCTCCGTAAGGGAAGGGATTTGTGTTTGTTTTTTTTCCCCACTGATGTATCCCTATTCCAGGTGCCTAGAACAGTGAATGTCACAGAGCAGGCAATCAATAAATATTTGTTCAATAAATAAACATTTAAATATGAATTATACTTTTTCTAAAAGGAAAATTTCAAAAATGCTTATATTTAGTATTAATATATTTTGGACAATTTCTTCCAAGTTTTATGAAGTAAAGATGTGAGTAAAAACAAAACTGTAAAACACCACATTAAACAATAAAAAAACACCCAGCACTAACCTGTAACATAGCAACAGGTGGAGGGAAAACCTCTGCCTGGGTTGTGACCACTGTCTCCTTTTCAACTGGAGGTGGGCTCTGAGTTGTCTGGACCGTCTCTTTAACGGGTTCTGAGCTTTTCACACTTTCCCACTCTAAACAAAATATTTGAAATTGATTTCCTCTGGATAGGTGCAATTTTTCATTTTATATGTACACATTTATTTCATATCTGAATAGTCCTTCATCTACCTTGGCACATCTTTAAGATGTGTCCACAGCTGTCGGTGCCAACCTATTTGGTTCTGCTGAGATAAATCTGATTAGGGTACTAAGGAGTTCAAAGCAGCATGACATGAGGCACAAATCAAAGACACTAAAATATTCAGTCTAGAGAAAACACTTAAAAGGGATATAACAGATACGTATCTCAAAGGCTGTCTGATTTAAGACAAACCAACCTTATTCTATATTTTGTCATAAGGCATAAGGGGAAACAACAAGTACTAACCCAGTACAGAAAGATCTTTCTGAAAATACAAAAAAATGCAAAAATAGAACAAAGAGGTTCCTCCACAGGTTCGCCTCCCTTAAAGCTCAAAGTCATGAGAATGACTAGTAAGACCACATGACTTCGCCCCTCTGCACCTCTCTGACTTCATCTCCTACTACTCACTCCTCACTATGCTCAAGCCATACTGGTCTCACGACTTTCTAACAGACTTGGCGCTTGCTGTTCTCTCTGTATGAAACACTCTTACCCAGATAGCTGCATGTCTCACACCTCTGAATACCACCTTCTCCATTAGACCCTCTTCAACCACTTAAAACTCCAATAGCTCCACACCCATACTGCCTATCCCCTTTCCCTGTTTTTTCTTCTTAGAACTTAACCAACACTGAAATACTACCTAGTTTATCTATCTTATTTATTATCCATTTTTTTCCCACTAGAACATGGGTTGGCAAACTCTTCCTATTTGTAAGTATTTTAGATTGTGCGGGCCATGTGTTCTCTGTTACAATGACTCAACTGTTGCTGAATTTTAAAAAGTCATATACAATAGGTAAACACAACTGAGCATGGCTGTGTTTCAATAAAACTTTATTTACTGAACAGGCTGCCAGTAAGATCTGGCCCATGGGCTGTTGTCAACCCCTGTACTACAATGTGCACTCCAAGAGAGGAAGGATTTTTGTCTGTCTCACTGCTATAATCCCAGCTCCTAAAGTTATGCCTGGCACACAGTAGGAACTGAAATATTTTTTGAATGAATAAATGTTCTGGAGGAACATCCATCCAAAAAGGAGAGAGAAAGACAGCGAGAGAGAATGACAAGAAGAAAACAACTGAAAAAGTGTTTGAAAATATGTACATTGGCCTGAGAACAAAAATACTATTCTGAAAATTAGCTAATTTTGGTAGAAGAGCTAAGATATCAAGAAATAAGTATAACATATTTCAATTCTTTCCCAAGCATCCATTATTCTGTGAATTTATAACTGAAAAATTTTAAAACAAAAAGACAAATTTTTCAAAAGAACGGGCCAGATTATCACTTGGTTATAAGCTTTCTAAAGCAGCATGAATCTGAACTACAGCTCTCTGAGATTCTATTCCTGGCATCCTCAACATAGATACTAATCAAAATAGTCTAGGAAGCTTTTTAAAGGAATTCCCTAAATCCCCGGTTCTCATTGAAACTCAAGTGACTGAAAAACTTAGTCTTTACAAGCCTCCATACATACAATGCTCTCAAAGACTGAAACTTTTTAAAAGACATATATAAAAATGCTACATTTAGAGTTTTAGAACACTATCTATATACTCTGACATTTATGGAATAGATCCCATTAAGTATACACATTGAACAGGGTGATGTTTCACTTTTTCCCCTCTTCTGCAGGATGGGGAAGATCCAGGAAATAAACACAATTCACCCCAACATGTAAAACTCTTATCAATTACAACCCCTCAAGCATATTTTTAAACAATAAAACTACCCACAGGGCTCTTACCAGTATTTACAGTTTCCTGATCAATCATGCCTCCTTCTGCAAAACCTTCCAAGTCATCCACTTTAACTTTTTCCCATGGTATATATGTTACTCCAAGATCCACATCCCAGAATTGTTTGTATTCTGTTTTTACACCTTTGTTTAAAGCCCAAGCAATCTATCAGGAATGAGGAGAGGAAAAAAGAAAGCTCATGTTTACTGTAAAAACAAGGTAAAACATACAAAATCATATGCTAACAATGCAAATATGAATAAAATTAGTTTTAAAAATCAGCTGGACAGGCAAAGCATCACTGCTGGAGTAACAGTAGCCAATGAAATTTTTTCCATGTATTTTCTGATTTTGTTTGTAAAATAAAACCTGCATTAGATAGCGGTGGTGTTTATAATATGGGATTTATTTCCACTTCTTACTATGGCCTTAAAACAACACATTTCCAGAAATAAACCAAATCTACTTTTCACCATAAAAATGTCAACCTACATTAGCGATAATTAGAATAGTTAAACAAAATCTTGGTACTCCAAGAGACCAGTGACACTTTAGCTTACATAAACTCTCTGCCATAAAATGAGAAAGCACGGGCATATTAACTCCCTTGAAAGTAATTTAAAAATTTTTAATTCAGTTGCTAAAACTATGGAATAAATTAACTCCAAATAGCAGAAATAAAATGTAAATTAGTTATAAGAAGTAAAAATGGAAAAATACACAATAAATACTCAAAGACTAAGAGGAAACAAATATACATAAATAAACCCTTCACAAGGGCCTGAGTTGTATAAGACAAGATGTTAAAAAGGAGACATTAATAATATAATTAAGGGGTAGGATTAGGAAGCATTGGGAAGGAGTGAATGAAAGACAAACTTGTAAAAATGAAAAAGTTCTGCTCATAAAATGGTGCCCGGGTTGACTAAGAATACTGTGCATGTGTGATTTTGAAGAACTGCTTGAATAAAATTTTGGTTATTGTTTTACCTATAGCCAAATTCTATAATTTAACAATACTAAAATAATAAAATTGTCAAGGTTTGCCTATAACATTAAAGAAGATGAATTAAATACAGGAAACATTCTAACAATCCAATAAAATAAGAGCACGTGTCCCCCAATCTCACCTTAATGACCTTGGACCCAATTTTATATGACCCGGAACTAAGTTTCTGAAGAGCCCGAAATGCATCTTGTCGATGAACCATGCAGACATAAGCACAGCCCCTGGGAGGAATCATCTATTAAAAAAATTATTTTCTTTAGAAAGGGTGTTATGAGGAGGGCAAGTCATTTCTGGCATTTTATAGTTTTAATGGAACAGAATATTGATTATTAATACTGAATTGTTTCCCCTTTTCTTCCTCCAGCTATCTGTTTATTGGTAAAATTCAAGCACAATCAGTTGAAAAAAAAATTCAGAAGCTAGTTGGGTCTCATTCTAAGCCATTATATATGTGAAATCTTGAATATCACGTGTCAACTAAAGTTTTAACACACAATGAAGAGCTATTAAAACAAAGCAATGTATAGACGTGTATATAATACCACCAGATAAAAGGAAAACAATACTGTACGGCCAACATATTTGAAGGCATACAATTTATTTACAGTAGCATTTAAATTTTGCCAAATGTTATGTTGAGTAATGTGAGAAGGATTTTGTTTGGGGGAAGTACCTTATCCTTAATATAAAGTCCAAAATCTACAACAAATAATAAAACTAAAGTTTTTCAATTTTATAAAACTTAACTTTGTCCAAGTACTTCTGGACAAAGATTTTAATATGAATAAGAAGATAGCCTCAGTGTAAGGATCTCAAGAGGTTTATTTACAAAGCATTTAACTACTCTATTAACTACCAGATCATAAAATTATCTTTAATGTATTAACTCAGAAAAATACACAGAGCATTTCAGTTTCTTTATGAAGAACTCAAAAGGTATTCATCACTTTGTTAGTACTTAATACCTAATAAGCTCTCGCTGTCAAAGTAACGCTTCCCTCAGCCTTGCTAACAGCTGTCACTTTAATACCAAATTTCTCGAAAGAGAAGTCTATCCAACCCCTTATACAATTCATCTCTTGCAATGTAGATCCAACCCCTTACCAACCCACCGAAAATATTTTCTTCGAGCTAATGACCTACAAAATGCTAAATCTAATGGACTTTTCTCAGTCTTCAAACTCCCCCAAAACGAAGTGAAAGGTTTATAAATCTTCCATTAATTTTTCAAATCCTGGATTTTATCACTAGCCATTCAGTACACTTCAGTTCACAAAATAACTTAGTGCCTATTACTTTTAAGTACTACACTCTTAAAAGGTAATACAGAAGAAGAGGGAGACAAGGCAAACTAATGTCCAAATGACTGTGGTATAAGAAAGACTACAAACGTCATAAGCAACGTGAAAATACAAAATGCTACTTGGATTCGGGATCTGTTCAGAGCAGTGATTCCTGGCTTTGCATCAAAATCACCTGCGTAATTATGGCACTTTGATAAGAATCTAAAGGTACTGATAATGGGCATCCCTATATGGGCATCCCTATTTTTTCAAATGTCAACCCGTTTCTGATATGCAGCTAGAGCTGAGAACCACTAGTTTAAAGGCAGCGGAAAATCAGAAAAAATTTCAGAGGTTATATGATCACAGACTCAGAGATTACTTATGTTCTGACAGGTGAAATTTAAAAAGACGAAAAGAGAAGCCTACAACACTTTCATGGTGTAAAAAGAGGAATCTGAAATACCTAATTTGAAACACTCAGCCAATTACCTATTAATTAACCAATCAATCAGCTATTTATTATCTGTGTAACTTAGACAAATCATTTAGATTCCTCACTGGTAAAATAACAATATTTGAATTACTTAACCAACTTCTTGTGAGGCTCCAAAGAGATCATACATAGTTGAAAGTAAAATACAAAATGGTCAAATTCAATTTAAATAAAGAGTGCTGTTATTAACACCAAAGAGTCAAGTTTGGCCATATAAGGAATGTTGAGAACAGAAGGAATCTAAGACTAGAAAGGAAAACCAGCCAATTTCCTGGTAAATAAGGATAAAAAGGTCCAATAGACATAAAAGTATAATAACAGTGAATAAAATCAGAGAGTTAAGGAACAAGACTCCTCAAATGACTATTCCATTATCTTTAGCCTCAAGGAAAAACAATAGCCCTGCAGGAGGAAGAAAATACTCAAAGGTGGAGACTGGGTACACTGAAAGAATCAAGCTGAGGAGTGATAGAGCTATGCTGTGGCCACACAGGTTTTCTTGCCTCAGGTTTGCTCTGAGAGGAAGAGAAGGGGAAGGGGTGGGAAGTGCCTGGCAAAAGACTGGGACCTCAAGTCCAGTTGTGTCTCCACCATTACCTATGTGCTCATGTGCAGGTGATTACAATTCTAACTCAGTTTCTTCACTTTCATTAAAAAAGAAATTAAACAATATCACACATACGGTTCCTGCTAACTCAAACATTCGATGTTTTTAGGAATCAAGTGCTATTACATTGCTATAAAACTCCTAAGAATATTTTGTTAGACTTCCATTTAAAAAAGGAAAATTAATTAAGCAGAGAGATAAGCAACAGCAGAGTAAACATAAAAACGATTAGAGTCGAACAATCCTTTTAAAATTTGATTAAAGGCAGATATTGCTGGGCTAATTAGGAACCAAAGTGACTCTGAAAACTCCCTATTTTTTTTTAACTTTAAATTATTTAAGAACTGATACTTACATTAATGGATTCAATCTGTCCAAACTCTTCAAAGAGGTTGGTTAAATCTTGCTGTGTTGCCTTCTTGTCTACCTGGCCAACCCACAGAGTAGTACTACATACTGTCAAGATATAAGAGACAAATAACCCAAATCACATAGACAGTTACTTCTTTCAAGTAGCTGAGGAAAAAACACTAGTAACAATAATAAATTAAAATTTCAGATAGTATATTTTAAATACTTGTTAACAGACATTTTTATGTTATGTTTAAAATCAACTAAAATACCAGGTACCCATTCACATCTATGCCAAGTCAACTTCTTGCATTATCACCTGTTCTCAAGCGTGGCAGCACACATCAGTCACCTGTGGATATCTGGAACCCACTCTAAAAGATGATGGAAGGTATGGGGTGTGACAGATCAGGAACTGGGAGTTTTAAAATTCTGTAGGTGATTCTAATGTGCAACAAAGTTTCAAAACCACTTCTCATTGCAATCCTATCTGTGTACCTTTTAAGTATCTTTCTGTACTGGAATGATTAAATGGATGTTTCTCCTAAATCAACAGTTAAATCTTATCCTTAAGGAAAGAATAATTATACACAAAAAATATATATACAAAAAGGAAAAGGCTAATTTAGAACTCATTATCATGAAAGACTTAGGGATACTTAAGGGCTGGAAGCCACTTCCCTTTAAGAAATAAATGCTACACGTGAGACATCTTGCCTACTTTGAGCTGCACTGTTCATGTCTCCATGAACATCTCCTTTTCCTGAAAACACTGACTTTAAAAATATTTACAGCTGATATATTTGCAGAGTTTTAATATATTTGGATTTATGTCAATGTCATTAAAAAAAAAAAGAAGTTTCCAGCTTTTGGGTTATCTTTCATCTACAACACAGCCCAGAGCAGGTTTTACTCTAGAGCTAAGATGTCACCATTGCAATGTGGGTTTCACATTACATTCTACTGAATGTGGGTTTCAATCAGGTCTCCATCTCTCTACTCTGGCTGGTCAGAACTTGAACGTCTTCCAGGCCTGTGTGAGCTTTAGGAACCTGTTCAGCTAACAGATGCCTGGAAATTGCTCTTTCCCTGCTCTTTGTTCTTTGCCTCATGCAGTCTTACCCTGTGCATAACTTAATATTCAACCAAAGTCTCAAAGGGCAACATATTAGTTTTCTTTTGCTGCTGTAACAAAACACCACAAACTTAGTACCTTAAAACACAAAAAGGTATTCTCTTACAGCTCTGGGGGTCTAAAATGAGTCAACAAGGCTGCATTCCTTCTGGAGGCCCTAGGAGAGAATTTGTTTCTTTGCCTTTGCTAGCTTCTACAAGCTATCTGCACTCCTCAGCTCATGGTCCCAACCCTCCATCTTCAAAGCCAACAGTGTAGCATTTACCAATCTCTTTCTCCTTTCCACATTCACATCACCTTTTCTCTCTGACCCTCTCCTCTTGTTTCCCTCTTATTAGGACCCTTGGATTACACTGGGCCCTTCTGGATAATCCAAGTTAATCTCCCCATCTCAAGATCCTTATTAATCAGATATACAAATGTAAGGTAACATATTTACAAGCTCCAGTGATTTGGACATGGACATCTCTGGGTGACCACTATTCAACCTACCACCAACCCTTAGCAAATTTCTGGACCTCTTTCACTGAACAGTTCCCACCTCTTCATTACTCTGTTCTACATATTATAGCTGCCTTAATCTCCCCAAAATCTGTTCCATGTTTCCCCTACTCTTTTGATATTGTCTCTCTACAAATTTTTCCCATGGACAACTCCATTTCCCCCCCCAGAAAGTAATGAGTCTCCTCCATCCCATGAGAAGGGGACACTTGATTCTTAGAATGTTACTCTTTGTTGATGTTTCACAGCCCCTGGACTATTCATGAAAACTCATGTTCTAAGAACCAATGGGCAGAGAAACACTACCACATGTGTTTAAAATGTGTTGGGACCACATCAAATTGTTATTGCTTCTCAGTAGAGTTTTGAGGTAAAAGACAAGATATACTTCTCACTGTATTTTCTTATGTCCTTTCTAAACTTTTTAGTTGTGTGTTTTACCCATGAAAATAAAACAGCAACAAAAAATAAATTCCACGGTCAATAACTATGTAAACGGTGGCAACGACACATGACAAGTTAGGTAAGGAACTAAATGAGAGACTCCACGTAAGAGCCCATCATAAAAATCGTTATTCTGAACGTCCTAATAGCAATCATGGGAGGAGGCACAGTTGAGATTTTACGATCAGACTTCTGACATTATTTATCAGACAGCACGAAAATGTTTGAATTTTGTCCCTCACCCTAAGGGATAAATAGAAACTTTCAGAGTTAGGAATGTCAACATTACTAAATTAACAATGGCTCTCATAATCAGGTAAGATTCTGGAAAGATAGCCAAGGCTTGTTCAAATGGCTAGAATTCAGTAAGATGGCGTCGCCTTTAATCCTAAGCCTCGATTTCTAGGATGCTTCAGCATTATAAATTATACCAGTTATTCATCTATCTCCATGGCAGAAGGAGTTTATTTGGATACATTCAGAAATTAGATAACCTGATCAGTGTTTCACTCTTGGCGAAGAATGACAATTTACTTCCTTTTATGTACTTTATCCATCTGCAGTCTGTTGATTCACCTTAAAAGTCATAACCCGCTAAGAATCGTTTAGGCAGAATTTGGCACTAATTACAAATTATTTTCCTAGACCTCACATGCCTACCAAGTCAACTCTCCTGCAGCACTCTCCCAAAACAAACTCCCACTACTACCAAATGTGTTCTAATCATACATTATAGATTAACATATAAAGGAGGGAAAGTTTTTACGAGAGAAATCTCTCCTTCAGTACTGATCCAGTAAGTTTATAATTAGCTTTAAAATTTGCATTCTTCCTATAATAATCACTCCTACAGACCTAGTGTTCATAATTGGTTAGGACACTGTGCATAGAAGTCACGGTGTCCATGAAACAGACACGAGGCCTAGGACACTTTATAAATCATTAATCAAGTCATAATATCTAACTAGCATTAAAAAAAAAAAACTCTCAATGACTTTAGTACTTGAGTAGAAACTGCTATTCCTTTTCCTTTTCTCCTCTATCACATTATAAAACCCAAAAATATAATTACTCATATACCAAAACAGGTATTTAACCTCTTAGTCTGAAAATAAGGTTGGGAGACATTGTAACAGATACTATTTTCTCAATGTTATTGAAACCAAAGCTTGTACGTCACTTACCACTTAATGTTTTAGATCTAATTGGAGGCAATCCCTTCTTCTGTCGTTCTTTCTCCCTTTCTCTAGCTCTTCTTTCACTTGAGTATGAACGTGATGATTTCCTTTTTCTTTCTCTAGAGCGAGAGCGTGATCGCTTTCTGTGTTTACGCTTTCGAGAACCAGACCGTGACCTAGACCTTCGTTTTCTTGGTGACCTACAAAAAAAATCTTATTTTACTTCTAATGACAAAGTTATTCTTCTATCGAATTTCTCACTTGTAGGTGGGGCGGGGGCGAGACTGTCTGGTATTTAGCTACCTTTTAAAAAACATTCAAGCATAATCAAGTATCAAACATGTATTTTCTCAAATTTCTATACTGCTTAGGTCCACACTAGTCACAGATGTTTGTTTGCAATGATTCTTACTGAACCACAACCACAAGGAAGAGTAAGAGAAAGAGATTCTAGTAAGGCCTCACTTTCTCTTAGGGTCTTCCAACTCTTTTTTCAAACAAGAGTCAAGAACAGGGATGAAAGATGGAAGAAAACAAAAAGATTCTTTAGGTGACAAAGATGTTACATTCTTAAAATTAAGAAACAAAGAATGTTTTCAACAGAACATTAGGCCACTATACAATTCTGTTTACAAGTTTTCAATTTCTAAAATCTCCTGTGCTTGACTTTACAATATAATGTGATACTGAAATACTGTTTCTTTTTTCCTGCCAGTCATATGCCATTGAACTCTCTTCAAAATACTTAGTAGGGAGGTGTTGCTAAGACAAATAAAGAAGTTGCTAAGACAAAGAAGTTTCAGCACTAACACTGTAATTCACTGCAGAGAGGTCAGCTTAGAGAAAGATGAACTGACAGGCTCTCATTTGCAAGAGGCAAATACAAGTAAGTTCTTGAAACACGTAAGAAATGACTGAAAAAGTCATCACAGATACTGCCTGTCTTCCAGCATTCGCTGTTCAGATTTTCTGGGTATTTGTGTGTAGAAAATAGGGCATTAAAATGTTAAAGATTAATGACTTTAAGTTTTAAGACAGTTTATAGCAAAAACAATATACACATGCTACAAGAAAATTTACCAGGTTAAGAATAAGGCGCCTCCAACTCAATCTGAATGAGCATGCACATTAGTGAGCCTCAGCCATGCTGAACAGCCCACAAAGAAACCATTTCTAGGATATGTTTTGTAATAGTCTGATATGCTTAATGTTTATAAAAATAATTTTTGTAGTTTTATTTTTATAATCATTTTTGGTATTATGAGATGAAATGGAATGTGAGAAATACAATGGAGTTTCTAATACTGGTCCTCTACAGCTTGATTTAAGTGTTGTTCAGGGGCAATAATACCCTAAGCTGACTATCATGATGTTATTAACTAAAACCAGATATAACCCCAAATCCAAGTCTCGTGATACTGCCGTGACTCATGCAAATCATTCAAATAAATGGCCACAGCCACACCCAATTAAAAACAGAACACATGTTTTCTGTTTTTTGAAGCTCTGAATTACTTCTTCCTGAGAGAATGTCACTCTCAGAAAACATTTTCTTTAATCTTGATGCAAAGAAATAAAGGATGCAAAAAAGTAAAGCCAACAATTTAAATGTTCGCACACAGCTATTCTTAAATAGTATTGTAGAACCTTGAACGGGATCGTGAATGCGTTCTTGATCTGGAGCGAACAGCCACTTTCTTTGCTTCCTGTTCAAAGATCTCCTCTTCTACTCCATCTTGCCCTTCATCTATATCCATATCCTTGAAAGTCAAAAGAACAGCAGACAAAATGCCTGGTTGAGATTCAGTGTGTATTGGTAATTCTGCCTTACAAAATATTCACCATAGTAGCATTAATGACTAATAGTAAAATGGTAAGAATGTGGAGCTTAATGAGTAGGAAAAAACCATTCAGGTTTACATTATTTACATACAATAAAAATTATTACTATATTTTAAGATTTTTTTTCTGTAATTAATTTTATAAATTTATGCCCCAGAAAAACATTTACTTTTTACCTGTTGCTGAATATCTATGGAATCATCCAAATTTGCTTCAGGTTCAAGGAAATGCTGTTGACTGCTCCCTTGTGATGGTGACACAGAATGCTCTGACCCAAATGTTCCTTCTTGACTATCCTGAGGAGTTGCCTATTGAGAATGTACACAAGCACACAAACATTGGGAAATAATGAATATTATGAATATTGTTACAAATGAAACATCACAATTACAATTTTAAAAAGGAGCCCAATACCTAAAGAAATCCCATTACATCTTTTATGATCAATCTAAAATGGCACTTTTGTATAAATCCAAGTTTACTTAAAAGCACAGAATACCTCCATAAAAGGGAGATATTATAACACTAGAAAGAATGGTAAGATAAAGTAGGTCTCCAAACAAATTTTATATTGTGGAAAATATAAACTACCAAGAATAAAGGGACTGTATCATGAATGATATATAAAGAACTAAGTCACCCAACTGCACGTGTAGAAGCAAAACGAAGCTCAAACCCCAATATCAAAATCACTGATCTTGCAAAATCAGTTCTCAACTTGGGTCTTTTTCAACCTCCACCTCTAGGAATTGACAAAAGAGTATAAGGAAGTACTCAAATATGTAAAATATTTCAGAAAGACTAATAAAAGTTAGGCAATGCAGCCTAATTATAGGAAAAACTAAAATTTAAACCTTTTTGCCCCCCTAGGACTAGAATTACAGCAACTTGCTATAGGGATACTGCTTACACGGTACTAATCAGTATGAACTTGACTAGCAATTACATACACTATGGTGTTAACTAAAATTGAGAAACTGATTATTATGAAGAAATGACTCCCTAGTTAAACATTCCTAAAACATGATCTCACAGGTGTTGAGGATTAGTAAGAAGAGTTGGTACACAAGTTGGGGACTATTATAATAATTAACAGAAAAGAGCAACTCAAAACTACTGTTCCCTTGCTACAAACTCTGTGATTGTGAACCAAGTTACTCCAACTCTGAATTTGTCTCCCTACATGTAAAAGGAATACAACCACAGTGATTATAAAAAACAATATTGTATTATAAATTTCAAAGTTGCTAAGAAACTAAATCTTAATTGTTCCCACCACAAAAAAGAAATGATAATTATTTGACATGATAGAGGTGTTAGCTAACACTAGAGGTAATCATATCCCAATATATAATCATATCAAATCAACATGCTGTACACCTTAAACAATGCTGTATGTCAACTATATCTCAATAAAATTATTTTTTAAAACTTACTCTAATGACATTTAAACTGAAAGAAAAGAAAGCAGAATAAAAATTAAGAGCCAAAAAGAGCATTAAAGAACTGTTCCAAAAAAAAAAAAAAGGAACTGTTCCAAGTGTCTTAATTTATGAAGGAACAGGCTCCCCAAAGACAAGTAACATTTTCAAGTTTAGAAATAAATTAAAACTAAAATCAGAATTAAAGTTCTATTAGTCTTTATTCCACAAAATTGACCAAAGAGTTGGTAAATAAGTATATGTTTGAGAACAAATCAAAATGTTTTTAAAGCACAGTCCTGGCTTATGCCTTTAAAATGGTACAATAAAACTAAAATTCTTAACAACACAGCAAGATAATTTTCAACTTTATCCTGAGCTGTATTGTTTGCTCCTAATTCAGTACTCATACATCCTTCACATTATTTACTTCTTACCTCACCATTCACCTTGAGCATCCTACCTACCATCCACCCACTTGTTTTTCATCTTTGATTTTCTATTAATGGTCAACCCTTGGTATAACCAGCAGAATCCACTGCAACCAATGCTAGTTCTTGAGCTTCTTTTTTGAGCAGTTTTACCCATTTGAAAAGGTTGTGATTCATGACTTTTATTCTTTCTTAACAATCTTATGAAGAACAAAGAGAAAATCTACTTTTAATATTCTACCAAATTTTATCTTATGATCTTGCAGTTAGCATTAATTAGGTCCACTGGACCCTTAGCTATATCTAAGATATGGTACGGGATCTTAGAGGTTTTATTTTCCTATATACTGAAACATTTTGCCATTTCATCATCCTAAGAATTATTCCATTATTACTCATCAATTACTCCCAACTGTAGCCAAAAAGACTAAAATAATAACAAAAAAAATGGAATTGTTGAGAAGCGTGATTCAACAGTGAAACCATCATCATTCAGTTTTACTGCATCACCAAAACCACTGCATTATATTTCAAGAAGGTATAAATAAGACTGGAGACATATCTGTAGTCTGCTTTTAGCTTTCCTTGGACAATGGATATTTAGATGTTTCATTTTCTGTCCATAACGGCAAAGAGAAGAAAACTGACAAAGAAACGTATTTCACAAAATTTTTTTTTTTTTTTTTTTTGGGCACAAAGCCTGCGGGATCTTAGCTCCCCGACCAGGGATTGAACCCGCGCCCTTGCCAGTGTAAGCGCAGAGTCCAAACCACTGGACCACCAGGAATTCCCAATATTTCACAACACTTAGACAAAGCAGATGATGAATGCAAAAAAAGACCGCAGCATTCTAGACTCTAATGGTAACGGTGAAATTTAATGTTTAAGTGAAATATCAGACGGTGAGTTTTCAAATGACTGCATCCCAAACGTATTTCTCAAACTCAAGAACTGATGAGCGAAAAATGTATCTCTAAGGACAAAAATCTCTAAGGGTATTTTCATTCAATTAGTCATTCAACAGGAAGGACTTCATCTTATAGTATTTTGGAACAAGAAGCTGGACTGTCTGTTTTGTTAAAAGAACATGTGACATTTGAACTTAGTTGACATAAAAAGGTTTGCTATATTTCAACTATATTAAAATTCCTAATTATGTTTATTTTCCCCTATCCCTTTAGCTTCGCTTTTAAATTATTTGTAAGATGACTAAAAAATATTTTTAAAAAACCAAAAAGACTCCATAGAACCCAGGTGGCAAATGACTTTTTACCCTGATATACTGATATACGTCCTTAGAATACATCCTGGTATATTCATCTTTAGTTTCTTCAGCAATGTCTTCAGGCAAAGCATCAGTGATAATACTGAGGGACTTCCCTGGTGGTCCAGTGGTTAAGAATCCGCCTTCCAATGCAGGGGGCCCGGGTTCAATCCCTGGTCAGGGAACTAAGATCCCACATGCTGCGGGGCAACTAAGCCCACACCGCAACTACTGAGCCCATGTGCCACAACGAAAGATCCTGCATGTCGCAACGAAGATCTCACGTGCCACAACTGAGACCCGACGCAGCCAAATAAATAAATAAAGATAATATCGAAAAAAATAGAAGACAAGGATAACAACAGTTAGCAGAGACTTTTTTCAAAATTGGATTAACATTCACTCAGTATCACATTTTGATCCCTTATAAATCTACTTTCCTCTATTTTTTTCTGTATAAGTGGCAGGAAAGAATGTCAAAAAACCTTACTGAAATCCACACATGCTATGCTACACCTACAGCATTTTCCTAATTTATGAGTCTAATAACCTTACATCATCAACCTCAGTACCCTGAAATGCAACTCAAGTCTCTTAATTATCACCCATCTTAGTTATCATGTTCAATTCTCCTCTTTCCATTATATTCTCCTCTATAAAAAACTACTGAAGCAAAGTAAGTTACATATTTCTGATATCCCACTGACAGCTCTTTATTAAGTAGCTGAATCTTCTATAATCTTTTTATTCCTAACATTCTTTTTAAAGCCCTTTTATTAGTCTTATCATTTTCATCATCAGCATTTCATTCTATGACTCTGACACCTTTTGGATATCCTGATAAAACAATTATCAAAATCACAACTCCAACTTACTCAAGACAATAGAAATCATTCCTCTTATGATATGATTGTTAGTCCCTTCACAATTCAACCATTCTCAGAAAGTGCTCCCATTTTCCACTGGTTTTCCATCATTAGATAAAAGACCTCAACCCACACCCAAGTGTGGTCAAAGCTGCAAGGAACAGAGTGGCACTAGCAAACCTATTCTTTTCTCTGAGGCGCTCTAATAAATTTCAGGCAGCAATACGGAGCTTACTGGTAAACAAAAATGCTTAATTTTTCTGCATGTTTCACCCCATCTTAAATACACTAAAGGGAACTGGTTTGATAGAGCCAATTACACAACTTATTAAATTTGTTACTCTGTTGATATTTACTTTTCAATTTTAAATTTGTGATAGGCTTTAAACACTATTCACCTTATGCATTAGAAAAGTTGCTTTTTTTTCTTCACTACTCCCTTTTCTTCACTGCTTATTTTTGAATAAGGAAGCTTTTAAGAACATCTACTCCTTTCAAAGAGATCTTATTACTATATCTTCTAAAATTTTGGAGATGGTATAGAGTAATCAACTAAGACCAGAGTTCTTTTTTCTGTTTTTGGTTGGTAAGATTCTTAAAACAAAATCACTCTCAAGTTTTTAGTAACTTTCACTTCAGTAACTTGGTGTTAATTACAAGCTCAAGCTCAAGATCCAGGTCAAGAGTACTACACCTTTACTGTCTCTGCTAAACCTTCATTCTACTGCTTCTGCTAAAACTTCTGAAATGAAATTGGAACTAAGGCAATTCAAAAGTGTCACATCTATAGCTGAACAAATCTGTTTAGATAAACTGTTCCATTACTACTACCTCTTGCCTCTGTAACAGCTCTGACAACCTGTTTCTCTTCCTTGAGTCACAACTTATGTTTTTCTTTAAATAACATCCAGGTTTTTTTTTTTTTTGGCCACACTGTGTGGCATGGGGGATCTTAGTTCCCTGACCAGGGATCGAACCCGGTCCCCTGCATTGGGAGTGTGGAGTCTTAACCACTGGACTGCCAGGGGAGTCCCCAAATGTTCTTTATTGTGCTTTGTCTTCAAGTTTCTGAATTCTTAGGCAGATATATTTTATTTTCTTGACATAAAATAATGCACCTACCCAACTACTTCTATCAGAATTATTTCTACAAAACAAGGTATGGAATTCCATTCTCATAATTCCAGGTACAAGTTCCAACATACAAATATCATCAAAATCCATTTTACAAGGACTTCCCTGGTGGCGCAGTGGCTGAGAGTCCGCCTGCCACTGCAGAGATCGAACACGGTTTCGATCCCCGGTCCCGGAGGATCCCACATGCTGCGGAGCGGCTGGGCCTGTGTGTCACAACTGTTGAGGCCCACACCCCTGGAGCCCAGGCCCCGCAACAAGCGTGGCCCCTGCTCACTGCAGCTAGAGGGAGCCCACGTGCAGCAGCGAAGACCAAACACCGCCAAAAATAAATAAATAAATTTATATTTTTTAAAAAAATCCATTTTACATTTACTCTTTGCATTAAAAGGGCAAGTTCGGGGACTATCCCTTCTTAAGTAATCCTCCCTCTTCCATATTTCCATAGTCCTTCATATATACCTCTATTTCAGAAACCAGGATTCTGCCTTGTGTTCATATAGATATATGCACTCCATTAGAGAAGAGCTTACTTGAGGCCAGACACTTCTCTGTTCATCTCTGTATGTATTACCTAACAATGCTCATACTTTAAAAATATTTGTGGTATTGTATTAAATTCATTAGAGTCAAAAAGGTTTGATTAGGAAGAAGTGTGAGTGGGGGGAATTCCCAGAAACTCATATCCAAACAGTTTAACATCCGTTAAGTATTTCTCATATAGAGCAAAAAGAGGCTTTGTAATGGATTTAACCCTAGCTTCACAACAATTTGACATATTTTATCAATTCTAAGGTATGATTTTTCTTTTCATTTTATCACCCTGAAATTTAGAAGATTCTTAAAACTCCAGGGGATGTTATATATACAAGTATCTAAAAATTCTTAGCTATACGTAAAATAATCGTGGGTCTTAAGACTGATGATATATGATACTGTGTACTTTAAGAGTAGATGTTTCGATTTCACTAAGCTTCAATTTCCTACAATGTAAATGAGATTCAAAATACCTATCGCATAAGCATTAACTGTAATCATGCCTAATAAAGCTCCTGCCACATACTAATAACAGTCTAATTAAAGACAGCAATCTATTTTGTCATCATCACCACCAACAACAGTAAAATCATCACTATCTTGGCTTGACAGGGAATTGAGAGGAAAGGAAAGTTTTCAGCTGTAATACTGAAACACCATCTCTGTCTTCTGTTCTCTAATTCCAGTATACTGAAATTAATGTTCTCAATGGATACATAAGTTGCCAGTAAACATTTTGATTACCAAAAAACAAAATGAAACAAAAAAACAAACAAAAACTGTAAAGGTCCTGAAAAGACTGATCTCCCTAGTAATAAACAGCTGAAGAAAAAAAATCACCAAATGACAGACTGTACAAAGCAGTAACTCTAAAGACCACAAGATGGGGATATAAACCTTTTGAGGCTGTTGCTGTTCCAGGAGTTGCTGTCTGAGATGTTCAAGATTTTGCTGCTGTAGCTGTTCTGCTATCTGATGAAAGATGGAATTGTTCACAGATTCTGAAACATGAGAACTAAAAGGAAAAACAAGTGGAAATGTATATTAAAATCCAATAAAGATAATATGATAATAACTGAATATTCGAAAAGAACACCCCAAAATGCAATTAAATGGAACATACTCTACTATTATACTCTATGTTTACTTTTGAAATATTCACACAGAAAATAGAATACCTCAGAACATTAATACGTTAAAATAGAAATATACTCTTCAATAGTGTTTCAATAGATGGATCACATGTTAGAGATACTCTGATGAAGATCTGATATTACTGCCTCACAATATTAAAATACATATAAATTAGAACTTTTTACATTACAGCATTTTAAGAAAATCTCAATAAAACACTTATAAAAAGAGTTAAAAGTACTTAAGCATTGTCACTCTAACTCCTTCTTTAAACTATGAGACAGTGGGAAAAATGTTCCATCAATCACTATATGTGAAATCTACCATCATAATTGATTATACACTTCATAAAACTAATCTGCTTTCTTTAGAAAAGCATTCACATTATTAGGTATGTTAACGGAAACAGTGTTTAGATAAGAGGAATTAATAATTTAACTATACTCTGGGAAATTCACACCTGGAATACACCTGGAATTCTGGGTGCCACAAGGCAAGACATGAACAAAAAAGAGGGCATCCCAAAAGGGGCAATCAGGATGGTGAGAAGTCTTGAAACAGTTGGAAAAAAGTGTACTTCATCTGGAGCAAATAAACCTAAGGGGAAGAATGATACCTATCTTCAAATACTGGAATGGCTATTTCTTTCTCAAAAGAAAATGGAGCAAATTTGTTTCCTTGCTTCAGAAAGCAAAATGGATCAGTGTATAGAAAGCAAATCAAATAAGGTTCAGTAACAAAAGATCACACAGTATTAAAAATTACCTTCTTGTCACAGAAGGCATTAAAACAATGGATAAATCACCTATACAGATGGTTAAAGGAGATTACTACATTGCTCAGGACACTAAGCTACATGATCTCAAATGCTTCTTACAACTTTAGAATTCATAAGCTAAAACATTAGTTTTTAATTTTTTCAAGTAGAATCTCTATCATAAGCATATAATTGCAATTTTACATATAAGTATATTTTTAATATATTATCACAATATAGAAAACTAAATAACTATTGAAATAAGATTTCTAGAGGCTTTCCCCACTCATCATCCCTTTCTAATCGTCCCACCTTCCACCCCTGCTCTCCAACATCCTCCTTCCCTCTGGTCCTCTCATGAACCCTCACCGAACCTAAGGCTCTGCAGAACTGTATCACTGATTTAAAGAAAAACATAAATCCATTTCTTTAACAAACAAAATCCCTACAACCCTATTCCTTACTTCTGATTAGTCTGATCTACTCCCAGAATTTAGTATACTTCCTAGTAGTGCCCACTGGCACTAGAAGCAAACGTCTTTCCTATAAATATTCTTACAACAGAGTTAAATAACTTAAAGCCTAATATAGACAACAGAAAATAACACAACTAGATTTATCAACACATCAATTTTCCAGTAAAGAATATTGACATATCCCAATTATTTACAAAGTTCTTAGGAAGAGTCAAAATAACACAGGGAAGCAACAAGCAGCAATTCTACCATCTTTCTGTAATGTGAGAGCTCAAGAGCCTGAAATAATAACTCAACTCACTCAAAGTACACTCAGTAGCTCAATGGCAACGTCCCATACAATGTTTATAAAGATAACAGAAAAAATTTATGGTTTATAAAGAAAAACATAATGACTCTTACAGTTGAGAAGCTGGAATTTCCTTTTTGGGCTCTTCACTATGCTCAGAATCTTCCCCAAAATCAAACCTATCCATCAACTTCTAAGTGGGGGAAAAAAAAAAGAGAAAGAGACAAATTTAAAAGTGCTTTGCACAAATAAAAGTTGCAAATGCTATTTTGAAGGTCACTGACATCCCATTAATTTATCTCTATCATTTAAAATGTAAATGTTTCATATCATTTTATTGTTATACTCCAATAAAACATTTTATTTGAGCGGATCTTTACTTTTCTTCAGGGCATTTTGACAGACATTGCCTTATGAAGCAAAACAATCATGACACGCAGGATAAATACCAATACTCTTAACTTTATAAAAGAGAGGATTAGGATTAAAATAATTAAGTGGCTTGTCAATAGTAACAGAGCTTGATTAAAAAAAAAATCTAGAACTATAATCAACAGATCTGTTACTAGCGCAGTTCTCTCAGAATGCTCCATTGTCTTCTAAATGGTCAATTTAAAGACTTTTTGGAAGCTGCAGGCTAAAAAAGTCTAAGTAATAATCTCATAAATCAATATTTATACTTCTATGAAAATTACAGTAGCAGAAATAAAAATAATACAGATAACACTTCCAAAGTATTATAATATTCCCATAAATAGCAAGAATATTAAGCATATCACACAAGTTAAACATAAAAGATTTTCAACTTTAAAAACACTATTCTTGGGGCTTCCCTGGTAGCACAGTGGTTGAGAGTCCGCCTGCCAATGCAGGGGACACAGCTTCGTGCCCCCGTCTGGGAAGATCCCACATGCCGCGGAGCGGCTGGGCCTGTGAGCCATGGCCGCTGAGCCTGCATGCCCGGAGCCTGTGCTCCACAACGGGAGAGGCCACAACAGCGAGAGGCCCGCGTACAGCAAAAAAAAAACCAAAAAACCCACTATTCTTTAGTTAGACCTCGATTTATCACAGCATAGTAACAACTTGTAAAGAAGCTTTCCTTTGAACTTTCACATACTTTACAATTTTAATTCTAGCAGATTAAAATTATAGGACGGACACCATAATTAATATATTTGTAACATCCATAAAATAAATTAGGAAGTATAAAAATAATTATCTGCCTCAACAGTGAATACAGGGGGCTTCCCTGGTGACGCAGTGGTTGAGAATCCACCTGCCAATGCAGGGGACACGGGTTCGAGCCCTGGTCCAGGAAGATCCCACATGCCACGGAGCAACTAAGCCTGTGCGCCACAACTACTGAGCCTGCCGCTCTAGAGCCCGCGAGCCACAACTACTGAAGCCCGTGGGCCTAGAGCCTGTGCTCCACAACAAGAGAAGCCACCGCAGTGAGAAGCCCGTGCACCGCAACTAGAGAAAGCCCACACGCAGCAACGAAGACCCAACGCACCCAAAAATAAAATAAATTTATTTTAAAAAAAAGTGAATACACAATTTTACTGACCAGTTATTATTAGTCAAAAGAAAATATTCTAAATGTTGCCAGTGGAATTATAAAATTACTTAATTTCTTTCAGAAATTTGAACTTTTTCTAAAATTTGTATCTTATAGAGTATGATGGATGTTAAAATATAAAATAGTGCTACGGTAAAATGTAATTTACAGAATTGGAATATACATGATAGTACAGAAAATTCAGTTCTTCATACAGAACAGATCTCTTATCTTAGTTTTTACCTTGTTAAAAGACACTCCCTGTTCTAGGGGATTAAGGGTGCTGGCTGCTGCAGCCGCTGCTGTGAGCTGTGCTGTAAGAGCCTGCAGCTGGACCACAAGGCCGGCATCCAGGGCTTGCAAGATGGAAGGCTGAGGCTTCTGCTGCTGTATCTGTAAAGTCTGTATTAACTGCTGAAGCTAAAGGGTGGGGGAAAAAAAAAAAAGAAAATTACTACAAACGGGTGTTGGGTTTGTAATAAGAATACTCATCTAAAACTTTTGGTCAATAAAATTTACCATTCTACAGTCTAGAGACCAAGAAAAAATATATACTAATTTAAAACAGTTTTTTTTTTAAAAAAAAAAGACTTTTTGTGTGTGCCATATATAACACAGTCCTTAATAAGTTTGTCTTGCTTCTGGAAAGTCAGGGAAGTTTAAACAAAATAAAATGATCACACCATGACCAACGGATAAAAAAACTCATCACAAGCAGACTTTTTTCCACTAAGCTTTTTCATCCCTTCTTCAATTAACTCAATCTCTGTAAAAGGACGAGCACTTACAACTGCTTTTACTATCATTCAGATTTACCATCTGATAACACATTCCTGAAAGCAGCTAAGAAAATAAGAAATCTGTCCCTTGGAGCAGTCTGAAACTAAGGAAATTAAAGGTGAATAGTGTCAACAAGAGTTGAAAGCAATCCCTGTCCCCCCATTCACCCTCCCTCTTAAAAAATAGAAACAGTAGTAAGATGCTGAAGATAGTTCAGTTCAGTAAACCCTATATATAACCTAGTAGTAATTAATACTTTCCTACTCAAGATGTAAACCCAAGTTAAATCTGAAAATCATCAGTTTAGAATAGAAAAAGAAAAATAGAAAAGCTATTGCTAAATAAGACATTTGCACTCTTCAAGTTCAGTTTACAGTGGGAGAAGGTAAAAATATGCACGATGAAAGTAAAATAATTTCATCTGAAATAGCAACATTAAGAAACAAACTAGTGTCTTTACCTATCATACCAAAATTTACTACAAACTACTGATGTGATAGGAAAGAAACTACAAAAACATATGATAGTTGAGCTACTGCACTGAGGAAGCTCCAAAACAGGATGGATGAATAAGAGGGAGGGAGAGAGAGAGGAAAGAAGAAAGTAAGGCAATTATCACATTTCTCCTTTACACATTTTAAATGTTCCTTTTGACATCTCCATTTCCCCCCACAGCACTGTTGTTCTTTCAGGTACCCAGGCTCAAACACTGAAGCACCCTACTTTCTTTCCTCTGCTCTGACTTCATATCTTATAGATCACTGTGACTTCCTGACTCCTTGTTCTATTCTTCCAGAAAATCCACACTCTGGCCAAAAGTATTTTTTTAATAGATGTCTTTTAAAATGACATTTGCTTTACGAATTACTTTCAAAATATCATTATCACAAAAGGTTATTAATTCTATAATTTAATCTAATATCCAATTCAGTTTCCCAACTGTCCCAAAAATGTAGAAACTGGATCCAATCTAAGACGATAATTGAACTGTTTTTTTACATTTGTAAATCACTAAAATGGTTCCATATTTTTTTTGAGATTGTCTTTTAAAGAGTCCACAACTGCACCGTTTTTTACTTATTCATATCACAATTAACCTGCTTTTTAGAGGATAAGTTAAAAAAAAAAAACCAAACAGATGCTAGACTATCCTCATATCTTTCCATGACTAGTTCCATTTAAAGTCTCAATTCAAATGTCACTTTGTCAAAGATGCCTTCTCCTGGCTACCCTAATTCTGACCCCTTCCCCCAAACTTAGTCACTGTAAAGACTTACCCTGTTTTAAGTCATATATCACTATCTAAATAATGTTTTATACTTCTTTACTGTTTGTCTCCCCTAAGATAGATAGGTATCTTCTTCAAGGTAGAAGACTTCCCTGCCTTGTTACTGGAATAACAATAGCACCTAATAACGTCTGGCACAAACTGTGCACTTAATTATTTTGGTGTGAAACGAATTATTTGTAAAATAATCTTTAATGGCATAAAAGTGTTCATGATGCATTACTAAATGAAAAGAAAACCAAGTTACACAGTACTATATGTAGTGTAGTCATTTTTAAAAAATAAAACACATACTCCTTAGGTGGTACATAATGAAACAATGTGTTAGGAAAATAATGAGTCCTAAATCATTGACATAATAAAAAAGCTGCTCACCTGTTGGCCTTGAGGACTTTGTAAGATCTGAGCTACAGCTGCAAGTGTATCTGTATTTGTTATCTGAGACACCCACGGATCAGGTAAACCTTGGACCACATTGGCTGGAGTAACAGGTGTCACAGGAGTTCCTTTTAGAAAAGACATCAAACCCAACCCCAATAAATATGTAGGTACATAAATAAGACTTGGAAAAGTAGAGAGATTTGTTCTGTCACTTTTATAAAATATGTACAGATTTATATAAATGTAATTTTACTGTCTCCATTTTGAAAAACCATTACAGAATCAGGTATGTTAAAACAACAACAATTAAAAAAAAACGACCTAAAAGAGCTATCCATACTTGTTCTCAATTAACTAAGTTACTACTTTAAAGGAACCTACAGGGATTTCCCTGGTGGTGCAGTGGCTAAGACTCCACGCTCCTAATGCAGGGGGCACAGGTTCAACCCCTGGTCAGGGAACTAAGATCCCATATGCCCCATGGCATGGCCAAAAATAAAAAATAACTTAAAAAAATAAACAAAATAAAGGAGGCTTTAATACTTGCAAGTCATTAAAAATCTTATTAAAGAAGAAAATTCAATGACATAAGGAAATATTCAAAATGCAATCTTTCATGAAAAAAATTATTATAAAATAGTGTGCATAACATAAAACTATTTTTGTTCCAAAATATGTGTGTCTGTGTATGTATACACACACACATCAAAAACGAAATATATACCAAAATGTTAACAAATGTAATTCTTGGACTATGATAAAAAATTTCAAATGTCATTTAAATACCTTAAAAAAAAAACAAAACATGATTTTGAGATTATTACTAAACATTCTCCTCTCCATTAAATAAATTTTTCAGGGTTCTCTTTATATTAGTAGTCTTAGTTCACTGTGAATATCAAGATGATATATATGCAAGTTTAAAAGATTACAGTCTAAATCAGGAAAAACTTAACTGACACACCAATTTCCAAAGCTCATTATGTTTCTAGGGATTTTAAAAACTAAGCTTTTTAATTTTTAGAAAAGAATTACACACAAATATAACTTCTGATTTTATTTTTCACTTAAACTGCATTTCCTTTCATTTACCTAATGCTAGACAAATTCTCCTGCACTGTCAAATTATTATTTCATCTATGAATAATCACCTGAAAAGCATGAATAGAATACTCAGAAAATCTATCAAAGCAACATACCTGGGGTATTGCTCATAGCAGCAGTAGTACTGGCCAAAACAGGTGTGACAACTGGAGGAGGAATCCCTGCTGCCATATCCAAAAGAGGTTGAATAATCTCACTTTTAAATACATTATTCTTCTGCCATAAGTTTAATACTCTCACTATTTTACTCTACAGGAAAAAAGAAAAATGATATTTTGGTTTTTTTGCTTTCAAAACCTTAGCACAGTCATATCTTAGAGGCTACTTGGACAATAGATAGGAAGGATGGATTAAAATACTGCTATGATACTTTCCAGCCCTGATATTATGTTTCTATAATTTTGCATTTATTAACTTTAACTCACTTGCAAAAATATTCATTCTGATGAATATACAAGTTAATGAAAGCAATATTTAGCAGAAAGAAGGAAGGAATGGTAACTAGGTTTCACCTTCTACATGAACACTAATGAGATGGTTACAGTTAGCTGGAGAACTGTGTTAAGGATTCTGAGGCTTAGCACTAAAGTTATATTTACTGTTGATTTTAATTTTATCTTTTAAAAAAGTAACTTCAAGAGAAAATCCCTATCTTATGGGACTTTAAAAAAAATTTTTCATTTTAAAACTATCTAAGAACAAGAAAGGGTATTTCCTCACATAAGAATTTAACCAAATTTACTTTCTGCCACCACTGTTCAGCATATAAAAGTTCTGTAAACAGCAGTATTAGTTACTGACTACTGTAATGCTACTTAACTCCAGTAGAATAAGTTAAATGACAGAGGCTGAAATTAGTACTAAAAAGAGCCTTTTGTTAAATAATCTATTTTGTAATGGGTTGTTTTTGTTTTTTTTTTTGGCGGTACGCGGGCCTCTCACTGTTGTGGCCTCTCCTGTTGCAGAGCACAGGCTCCAGACGCTCAGGCTCAGCGGCCATGGCTCACGGGCCCAGCTGCTCCGCGGCATGTGGGATCTTCCCAGACCGGGGCACGAACCCGTGTCCCCTGCCATCAGCAGGCAGACTCTCAACCACTGCGCCACCAGGGAAGCCCCAGGAATTTTTAAGAATATCTGGTTCACCTTTAAATCACTCATAATATTATATCGACATATTTTCAAACTATGTCCAAGCTAAATTAACATGCAAATTTTTGTATTTCAAATGAAGCATAGGAAAGTTACACAAAGAATGCTTCATATCTTCTGATTTAACTATTTTTCCTAAGATGTAGGCACTAAGAAAGTGTCTTATATTTTTTTTGCTTTACATAAAAAAAAAATCTTCCAGTTCCCAAGATACTCACCAAGCACTAAAAGTAGTCCCCGTCTGGTAAGTATCATTCTGTGTATCTACCTACACACAAATAATGCCTCTCCTTTATGGAGTTTATGCACTGAGATTACAGCAGCAATGTAATCTTTCCTACTATGGTTATTAAAAAAAAAAATCCCTATATACTAAACTTTATTATAAATGAGAAACATTATTATTATGAAATCTACGAATTCAAGACTGACTTGTTCATTGTAACTGATAGAAATCCAAGTCCAAACCAGTGAAATTCCTAAATCAAAGTGTTTAAGTTACTTCAAAAATGTTTATATAAAATTTCAAATGAGTTATTTTAGGTGGGATTCTAAGGCATCTACTTTAAGTCTCAACTGTGATGGGTTACTTAAAAACTAGAAGCATTCTTTCTGCCTGCATAGAATTATCAACGTACCAAAGTTAATTAAAAGAAAAAAATCTGCTTCAAGAAGCATATCCAAGAACAGTTTACAAAGAATGATACAATGATAAATTTATCTCCATGTCTATTATAACAAGACTTCTTTTGTTTCAAAACTGTACAATAGTTAAAATAAAATAAAATAAAACTGAAAAACAATGATAAATTTATCTCCATGTCTATCTATTATAACAAGACTTCTTTTGTTTCAAAACTGTACAATAGTTAAAGTTAACTTAAATTAAAAATAAAAACTACCTAGGGCTTCCCTGGTGGCTAGGTGGTTGAGAGTCCACCTGCCGATGCAGGGGACACAGGTTCGTGCCCCAGTCCGGGAAGATCCCACATGCCGCAGAGCGGCTAGGCCCGTGAGCCATGGCCGCTGAGCCTGCACGTCCGGAGCCTGTGCTCCGCAATGGGAGAGGCCACAACAGTGAGAGGCCCACGTACCGCAAATAAATAAATAAATAATAAAATAAAATAAAATAAAAAAATAAAGACTACCTAATCTTGTACTTGAGGGAAGGTAAAAGATTTGTGGTGAGCTTTTAAGTTTTGTGGCTCTTCCTCAGAGTAACAGTTAGTCTTCACTTGTTCGTTCCTTTTCCTACAAAATCAATACTGCAATCAACTCTGTCAGAAAAAGGACACTAAATTTCCAAATCAGCATCCAAGATACGTAACCTTCTACTATCTTTGAGCACCTATGAGGATAAACAGCGCCTTTTTATTCTCCCTCAGGTCCCAAAGCTTTTGTTTAATGTGGGAAAGAATATTTATTCATTCAGATCCAGCAGACCCAGTAGTGTGGTTTCTAGCACTAAGAAAACTCTACCATGACAAAGGAATTTTGATATGCAGTTATTTTCTATTAATTATTTGGTAAATCCACTTTTCACAGACACTAAATAGGTAAATATCAGCTCAAGTCAAATAATCAAAATTCTGAATTGGTTGTGCGTGTAAATAAGTAAGATTTTAGGATAATTCCAAATGCTTATTAGAGCCAGTTTCTTTAACACCAACTGCTTCAATAAATTAAAAAGTAGCAAAATCAACTATGTCTTTCCACTCTGTTTAAGGAAAGTCTAACAACAAAGAGGAACATGGAGAGTGCGATAACTAAACATGCAAATTCGGAATAACGAAGAGTAACAGTAACATAACAACAACATAACATGGCAAAATTAAGACAAACAGGTAATTACTGTAGTGACTTAAAAAAAAGGAAAAAGGCAGCATACCTTGTCGTCTCCAGGGCAACGATATAAATTCTGGAAAGTGCTAATGATGTTATTACTAAATCTGGGTGCGAACACATCCTTTTCTTGACCAAACTGATGTCGAGATTGTCGTACAATAGAGTCAATAACGTAAAGTCCAGGTACCTTGTATTCTGGTTTACACTGAAGAAAAAAAGAAGAGGGGGAAGGGAAGCAAATGAGAAGGTTAAAATTCTTGATATACAAATGTCACCACAAATCCTGTACAAACACAAAAACACTGCTCATACTGAGGTGATGAACATTCGAGGTTGACTATTCCACACGGTCTGTCTCTGGAATGGTATTTGAAAGAATCTACTTTGGCTACTCTACATATTCAGTTCAACTGCCAATCACCTAAGTTCTGAAATAGCGCTGAGTAACTGGCTTGAACAATAAAAAACAAAAGATAAGGTACTGTTATAATAAAAAAAAAATGTTTAATGATTTTGAAAAGCCAAATAAAAGGAAGCAGCAAATTCAGGAAAGAAAAGCACTGGTAAAAGCATTGCCAACATGCCTTAGACTTCGTCTGAAACATATAGGGAAAGGATTTCTGTACTAATGAAGGTACAAATCAAATGACAAATTGTAACACTCCAAACACAATGAACCCAAAGTTTCAAAACTTTTCTCAAATACCACACCTATACAAAAGACAAGACACTACCATTATGATTCTAGGAATCTATCCTATGAAAACATTTTTTAGCTACTCCACTGATCAATGTTTCTCAACCTTACCCATTACCCAATCTGAAGAATATGAAAGTCTCCTACTTTCCAGAGCACAAGGAAGAATCCTTTCACTATCAAGCTCACTGCTTCGATTTCTTCCACATCCAGAAGCATAAGAACACCTGCCTCCCAAACATATACTGATAAAAATGAAATTATGGCTGCAAAAAGCAGGGTCAAATTCTGGGTGTAATTCGGTATTTCACCCAAAGTAATTTCATAGAAATCATATATGGACTAAATCAAAATTGCATTCTTGAAAAACTTCCTGGAAACCCAAGGACCAGTGGGTAAAGGATCCTCAATCTACCTCCAACACAGACATACATGCTTCTAAACAGGATTTTCAGTCAAGACAATGAGTGATTTCATTCTGCAAAAAGACCAGATGATTCTTCATTTGTTCCTTCAAATCCCTTTTAAGAACCTTCTCTTTAAGGTCATTATTAAGAAAATGAAGAGACCTTTAGCACCAATTCACAAGTGTCTACTGCAAGGTTCTGGCTGTTTAGTACTTGAAACATTTAATAAAAGGGCAGTATGCTGGTGACTGGACATTAAAGTTTTAGGTTTAACCTACCAAAAAGTTTCAAAACTGTCTGCTCGGGCTTCCCTGGTGGCGCAGTGGTTGACAGTCCGCCTGCCGATGCAGGGGACACGGGACATGATGCCCCGGTCCGGGAGGATCCCACATGCCGCGGAGCGGCTGGGCCCGTGAGCCATGGCCGCTGAGCCTGCGCGTCCGGAGCCAGTGCTCCGCAAGGGGAGAGGCCACAGCAGTGAGAGGCCCACGTACCGCAAAAAAAAACAAAACAAAAAAACCTGTCTGCTCTATTGAAAGTTACTGTTTTAAAAGTCTGAAATAGTTTTTTCCCTCATGTTCCTCCCCAAATCTAGCATATCTGTCCCTCAGTTCATATAACTGGCCAGGGCTATTTTCCTTTGACTACCATACATTCAAAGAAATATTCACCTAGCCAGGCAAATAATACATCCAGTAAAGAAAAGAAATTTTTTTAAATTTAATGAAAAGCAAGACAACTCTGTTAAAAATCATCTATTTCCCAATGCCGAAAACACAGATAAAATAATCTGATATATAATCTATTACTTTACAGAAATGATTATCTTGAGACTAAGGCTAAATAAAATTTATAAGTTGCTGGTAAGAGTTATTAAAATTAATACTGAATGGTAAGTAATAAAAGTGATTAATGCAGTGAGTTTTGTTTAAACAAATACACCTTTTTCTCTGATTTATAATAAAAACTCGATTGTAAACTCACAATACATAAGAATCATGAGTACATAACACAATAAATGGGCCTTCCTCGCCTACTGTGAAGATTCCAAAGCTTCAAAAATGTTAGCAGTTTTATTATTAAGCTATAAAGATAATTCTTCTTCCACAATATCTTTAGAAACACTATATTAACGTGTTATGGTACAGAATTTCCTTCACTGACAGACTAGGCATTTTTATGTGTCTGCCACATAAAATGGCAAAAAAAAATTATGTACGATTTAAATGTTGTAGAAGTTTTAAGATTACAATATTTGGTAAACTTGGCTAAGTCACCAACTAGAAACTTGAGAGGCGAATTAAGACCAAAAAATCTGAAATGTTTTCAATCTCTTTTTCAAGTTCTGGCAGTACTGAAAACACAAGAATTCCTAAGACTCCAATGTCACGAGGTATTTTTTACACTTTGAATAACAATTGTGGCTGTACTTACAAAGCACTAAATGATGCTGACAGGAGCATGTAAGAAAAGAGGGCTGGTCTCAGGAAACAGTTATACCTAATACCAAATGAATTCTCACAGTGAATAGAGCATGCTTCCAAAGGAAGGAGAGGAAAAGGAACCATTCTGAGACAGCCACAGCATTCAGTTCTTCACAAGGTCTTCTCTCAGGAGAAACTTTTTAACCAGAGCCTAACTTGCCGAGGTTGTATCAGAGCCTAACTAACCCACACTTAGGGAAACAGAACCTGCATTTCAACAAGATCTCTAGGTAATTCCTGTGCACAAAAGTAGTTTAAGAAGCACTGTTTATAGACACTGAACCTTTTGAAAAAGATTTTTAAAAGCTTTAGAACAATGAAATTTTCCAATCACCAACATTTGTATTTTCTAGTTGGATTTACCTAAAACACAGCATACGTGTTATTTTACCCCATGCCTTAAGCTTCAACTCACGAGTTGTTCACCTCAAAATATGTTTTACCAATACTTTAAGTTTTGAGAGAACAAGACTTTAAGAGAAAAAAAGCTGAATCACATAAAGGTTAACTGATTTATTCAAGATTATCTAGCTAGTTTAGTGACACAGTAATATCACTTTGATTCATGCTCCAGTCAACTATTTTCGTTCAAGAAACACACTGCAACCTTGCCAAGTCCTTAATGCCATTTACCTCTGATCCTCAAACTGGTTCTGCTTACATCTAGGCATGAACAATGGGCAGAATACAAAACCTAAATTCAATTACAGATATCCTACAGTACAATATTACAAGTTATAAAAGTTATGTACTCCTCCCAAAAAAATGTGGCACCAATAGGGCACTGATCACAAAGGGGCAAAGAAATATAATCTAGTCACCTCGGACCCTGGTTACAAAAAAAATTACTAAGTGTATGCCAAACAGCTGTTTTCAACTTCATCTCCCTCTGCTTACCCCGGAAAATGGAACTTCAGGTCTATATAATAAGATGTAGGATGTGTAATGCCCTAATGGATGAGACAAAATGAATCAGCAGAAGGAAAGTGGCTGGTATTTTTACTACATTTTACCACATCTTATCTAAAAGGAAGACTGCTCTCTAAGCATTCAGCTTCAAATAACAAGGGAGAATTTCTTTAAAGGCTATAAAAAATAATGAATCTATAATTTCATTAAAAATCAATCATATTGGGGGGCTTCCCTGGTGGCACAGTGATTAAGAGTCCGCCTGCCAATGCAGGGGACACGGGTTCAAGCCCTGGCCCAGGAAGATCCCATATGCCGCGAAGCAACGAAGCCCGTGCGCCACAACTACTGAGCCTGCGCTCTACAGCCCACGAACCACAATTACTGAGCCCGCGTGCCTAGAGCCCTGCTCTGCAACAAGAGAAGCCACCGCAACAAAAAGCCTGCTCGCCGCAACGAAGAGTAGCCCCCGCTCACCGCAACTAGAGAAAGCCCGTGCACAGCAACAAAGACCCAACGCAGCCAAAAAATAAATAAATTAATTAATTAATTTAAAAAAAATCAATCGTATTGAAACATTTTCTTCAAGGGACGGATGCTCACTACGGCAACGCAAATTAACAAAAACATCTATCTAAAAGCTTTTGTTTTTAGAATTATCCAAAAAGCACTTTCATTTTAACTCTTAATCAGATATTAAAACAAATGGAATCACTTCTGAACAGTCCATCAAAACAATTTAAACTTGGGTATTTGATTTAAAAGAGAAGAGTGCAGGCCATTAATCTATAGTTACAGAACATTTAGCGTATATATAGAAAATTATATACTTACTTTCTGAATGAATTTCTCAACACTCTGTACCACATGTTTATAAAACTAAAAGAAAAAAAAGAAATGTGGTTTTAAATGTTTGATTAGAACTTTCCTGCTAAACATACGGTTTAACATAGCTTCAAAGGTCTATCAAAGCAATGAATTTTAATCATGAATTTTGATTAAATTCATGATTAAACTAGCTATGATTAGTAAAGGGATTCTTCAAGTAGGTGTATGATCAGTATATCCAAAGTGTGTTACGTTAACACAGATACAAAAGAATTCTATTACAGTCTTTAAGAAAGCAAACTTTCACAAATAGTTAGGTTGACAGCAAAATACTGGTGGTAAGACACTGGTAGATGTACATTCTTCCTTCCTGGAAAAAAAGCAAAGCTCTCCTTTAGTATCATTTTATTGGCTAAATTAGGTTAGTACTAGAAAAATCAAGTAACTGAAAATAAAGAGCATTAATAAATGTGTGCAACGGAGATGTTTTCAACTTCATTATCTTCCTCTGCTTCTCCTGGAAAATGGAACTGCACGTATATATAACAAAACACAGAGATGTATAATGTTCTAAAGGATCAGCCAAAACGAATCAGCAGGAAGAGAAGAGAGCACACACATTAAATATTAGAAATGGGCTTCTATCGATTATGTGAAAACTTAGATTTAAGTTTTATGAAACAACACTATGAATAAACGTGAAAAAAATTAGATGAAAATTACAGGTTAAACAAAAATTATCTGGAATTTGTACCTAATTTAATTTTAATAGCTCAATGGCAACTGCACAATCAGCACATTTCTGTTTAAAAAAAACTGTCCTGAATTGTACTTCTATTTATATTTCTGATCCCATGAATTATGCTCTTTAGGGACATCCCCTTAGACTGAAGAGACACAAGAACTTTCAACTGAACTGCAGCAAGAAATCCAACATTTATAAAGTCAAAAACAAAGGAAAACTGGGACTTCCTTGGTGGTGCAGTGGTTAACACTCCACGCTCCCAATGCAGGGGGTCCAGGTTTGATGCCTGGTCAGGGAACTAGATCCCACGTGCATGCTGCAACTAAGAGTTCGCATGCCGCAACTAAGACCTGGCCCAACCAACCAACCAACTAACTAACTAACTAAATGTATATAAAAAGGCGTATTTTAAAAAAATAAAGGAAAATCTCATTATTCATATTCACCAAATCAAAATCTACAATAAAAGTTTCCTTACTACAAAGTAACAGTTTATGCTACAGTTTAAGTTACTCAAGCAAAAAAAAGCCAAACTACTTAAAAGTTATTAGGCACTTTATAAGTAACTAAACATTTAAAATCAATATATAAAATAGTAATTACACACTGAGTGGTTTTTATTAAATATTAATTTTTCTGGAAGACATCTCGGCAGTGCTTCTTGCTTCTAGTTACTTCATGTACTATATGTAATTCAGAGTAAAACAACTTACGGTTAATTCAAAGATACTCAACTCACATAGGCCTTCTTCCACAATAGGTTATCAGAAGTTTTGTTGACAGTGTGCAATGTTAACAAGCACCCAGAAAAATAATCATGTCTCTAAACATTGATAGAAAGCCAATGACTTACCTTAATATGAAACACAATATCATCTAAATCTGATTTAAAAGGCAGTTCAAATATCAACTTACATATGTATCAAATGCAGTTTAAATTAATACAGTACTGCAAAAAAGTTGGTCTGAACTCTTCAAAAATGTCAATGTAATGAAAAAGAAAACAAAAACAAAACAAAGCAAAAAGGCTGGGTGACAGGATAAATAAATGACAGGATCTCGACTGGATCCTGAAAATGCACAGGTGCAGGTGCTAAAGTTAATACTGAGACAACTGGTAAATGAAAGTGTAGATTACATATTAGATAATAATATTATATCAAAGTGAAATTTCTTGCATGTGATGTGTATTTGGTTACCTAGGAAATCTCTTTGCTTTAGGACATTCAAATTCAAGTATTTAGGGACTATGTGCTAGTCTGAATGAACACTGAAACGAACTCTCAAATGATTCAGCCAAAAAAACGTCAAAGTGTGTATGTACGTGCTTCAGTGTGTGTGTGTGTGTGTGTGTGTGTGTGTGTACACGCCCGCGCGTGTGTAGAAATAAACCAAATGTAGCAAGATATTAACACCTGGTGAATCTAAGAGGCTATGTGTTGCTCATTATATTATGCAACATGTTTGTGTTTTTTCAAAATTAAAAACATTAAGACAGTACCAATAAATCAAAATAGTACAGTATAACATGTTTAGACTAATTGAGAGAAGATCAAAATCTAGCTGATTTTATTCTGACTGTTGCAAATTACTTCTCTTAGACCCTTCCAACAAGTGAAAAATGGAAATAATGTTAATACCTATTCCTTAGAGTCTTCTAATTAAAAAGTATTCTGTTCAACAAAAGGTTATATTAAATGCATCAATTATTAATTTTCAGAATAAAAATGATAATAATATACACGTTCGCATACTCTCAGGATCATGACCATAAAAATCAGATCACAATGAAGAAGGGTATAAAGCAAGCAGAAGAGACTAACGTTCTATATTGAGTCTATCAGATAAACTGAAAAATCCCTTCTTTGAAGAATTCTCTATCTTAAGGTGTTTACTGGTCACTGTCCTTATCCCCTCTTTGATATTGTGCATATAAATACAGGGATTTGAACTATAATACTATCAGATATTAATTATAAGTTTGAAAACTAAGTTTGGGGCATTAGAACACTGCAAAATCAACTACCTAAATTTTCTCCTAGTAGTGATTCTCTGTAAAGAATTTGTTAAATCTAACAGATAAATGTTATTAGTCAAAGACAATTTATTCAGGGAATTCCCTGGTGGTCCAGTGGTTAGGACTCCGGCGCTTTCACTGCCGGGGCCTGGGTTTGATCCCTGATCGACGAACTGAAATCCCGTAAGCAGCGAAGTGTGGCCAAAAACAAACAAAAAAACAGAAAAGACAATTTATTTAAATAATGGTGCTTCTGGTTATGAGCTAATGCTCAGAGCAGAAAAACGTATCACCAAATATCTATAGGTTAATACCTACTTAATTAAAAATAAGCACTCACTCATTCTCAGTTTTAACAACCCTACTAGAGCAGGGAGTCTTAGCTTTGGGGACAAGAACATTTTGGAGAGATGTCTATGGTCGAGCTTCATAAGGTCCCTAAAACCAAGAAATTTTATGCAAAATTCTGTACATATGTGTATTTCTCTAGAGATGACCCAACCTTTTCCTGAGATTTTCAGAAGTATCCATAAATCAAAACCACTGTTATCAGAACAATGGCTAAATACCTGTGGCCTCTTCCCACAGTTTAAATGTCCTATGTACAATGAAGCCCAATTATTTTCCATAATGGCCCATTTTTAAATCTATAATACAATCAATAAGAAAAAGAATACATTAATTTTTTTAAAGAAACCTTTTCTTAACTTGTATTTCAAGATTCTGTAAAGTCAGTGTGACAAATAACAATGTTAAACACGTTCTCCACAATGTGGCTACATCTAAAATCTTACCTAAGAAAAATAAGGGAAAATGATTGCTTCCAAGTTTATGGAACAATATTTATCAAGATATTAAGTGTTTATCTCTAGGTGAGAGAGTTTGCAGGTGACAGATTTTCATTTTTGCGTTTTTTCTCTTGAACATGTACTGACTCTGAAAAGAGGAAGACAACATATAATCTATAAAAATCATCCCTCCTGCAAAATATTAGTGTAGTATTTCCTTTGAAAAACACAAGAATAAAAGGTGTTACTCACCTTAATAGCTTTGATGGCTGCTTTAGTAATTTGGGTCATTTTCGCTTTAGAAATGGGTGGCTTGTAGTCATTCAGGGAATACAACTGATGAAAAAGAAGAACAAATTTTAAACACAGCAAAACTGGTCTCTAAGAAATTACATGAAATTACCAACCATTTCTATTTTTATATCCTCAGTGAAATTAAAGTGCTGCTTTTCTTTTAAAAATCAAGTTCAACATTATTAGCCATCAAGCAAATACACATCAAAACCACAATGAGATTATCACTTTACACTTACTTGCTTATAATCAAAAAGACAAGTGTTAGCAAGGATGTAGAGAAACGAACCCTTATCCACATTACTAATGGGAATGTAAAATGGTGCAGCAGCTTTGGAAGACATTTCGGCAGTTTTTCAAAAAAAAAATAATATGTAATATGACCCAGCAATTCCACTCCCAGGTATATACCCAACAGAGGTGAAAATATACGTTCCCATAAAAACTTGTACACAACCGGTCACTGCAGCATTATTCATAAAAAATTCATTTAAAAAGTGGAAACCACCTAAATGTCCATCAACTGAGGAATGGATAAACAAAATTTCTTCTACCCATTCAGTGAAATATTAGCCATGAAAATGGAATGAAGTACTGATACATGCTACAACATGGATGAACCTTGAAAACATGCTCAGTTTAAAAAGCCATATTTAAAACATGTTACAGAATTGCATTTATATGAAATGTCCAGAAAAGGCAAATCTGTTGGTGATTGTCTAGAGCTGGGGGAGCTGGGGAGAAATGAGGAGTGATAACTAATGAGTAAAGCATGTTTTTTAAGTGACAAAAATATTCTAAAATTGACTGTGGTGATGACTGCACAACCATACTAAACACCACTGAATTATACACTTTCAATTGGTTAATTGCGTGGTATGTGAATTACATCTCAATATAATTGTTTTTAGAAGTCAAGAGATCTAATATTTAGCAATAATCCCACCCCCCCGCCCCAAATTTTTGTTTTAAGATTTCTCATATACGCAAAGGATAATAATACTGCTTAGAGAGAAAACGGATGAAGACAAGGTGGGGGAATTAGGCAAAAGACAAATAACTAAGCTTAAATAAATACTGATGAAAACTGGTATTAAATGATGCTGGGAATTTAACTACAATGCTATAAGATACTAACTAGAAGCCTGGAAACTAAGCTTTGGCCCTCAGAACATCGCAAAAACAACCTGAACAGACTTGCAAAGCAACTCAAAACAACACTGGTTGGTTAACAACTAGGGAGTCCTCTAGAGCGGGGCTCCCCAACCCCCGGGGCGGGACAGCAGTGGTCCATGGCCTGTTATGAGCCGGGCCGCACAGCAGGAGGCAAGCGGGGGGCGAGTGAGCGAAGCTCCATCTGCTGCTCCGCATCACTCCTGTTTCCGCCTGAACCATCCATCCCGGCCCCCCAACCCCGTCCATGGAAAAACTGTCTTCCACGAAAACGGTCCCTGGTGCCAAAAAGGTTGGGGACCGCTGCTCTATAGCCTTTGCTCCAGCAGCCCTTATAACCTATTCATCACTGAATTCTATTGATTTTTACCCAGCTTCCTCCACGTGTGCCTCTTCTTCCTCCAACCACTACCATGACCACAGTCCAAATTACCTTCATCTCGCACATGGTGATAGCATGTCTATCTTTTCAAAAACTAATCTGATCAGGTGACTGATACTCACCCACTTCCTCTACCACCCTAAAAGGTTCAATGACTTCCCACTCTTTGGAGATACACAAACATCTACACATACAAGGCCCTTGCCTGATCTAATTCCTGTCTACCTTTCCAGTCTCATCTCACACCATGCTCCTCTCCCCAGCTCTCTGCCCTAGGCACAACGGTCTTTTTTCAGTTCCCTGCCACAGAGCCTTTAAAAATGGGCTTGTTTCCTCTATTTGGAATAGAACTAGGACCTCCCTACTAGTTTATGCATACTCATTCATCTTAGTTAAAGCATCACCTAATGCGGAAAGCCTTCCCTACAACTCCCCAACCAGAGCTATACCACTTTTTTTTTTTTTTTTTTTTGCGGTACGTGGGCCTCTCACTGTTGTGGCCTCTCCTGTTGCGGAGCACAGGCTCCGGGCGTGCAGGCTCAGCGGCCATGGCCCACGGGCCCAGCCGCTCCATGGCATGTGGGATCTTCCCGGACCGGGGCACGAACCCGTGTCCCCTGCGTTGGCAGGCGGACTCTCAACCACTGCGCCACAAGGGAAGCCCCTATACCACCTTTTATACCCTCATTGTACTGTCACTCACCTTTGAAGCATTCATCACAGAATTTGACACTTACTTGCATGATTATTTAACTAATATTTGACTTTTAAAAGGACTGTCCCAAAGGGTGACAAAGACTGACATCCTTGAGACAAAGGATATAAGTTCCTTTAATGCAGTTTAAGCAATAAGACACTAACTGAACACCAAGAGCTGTCCAAACTGAAATCAACCTTGGGAGAAGTATAAACGTCTTTCCCTTTAAGTTCCCACAGAGGTGTCCACTTGTTGATGATACTGCCCAACCGGGGTTAGGATCCCATCAGATCATTTAAGAAGCTACCTCTGTCAAACTCACAGGGAATTTTAATATACTCATGGCCTCAATTCCTACCTGTCTGTTTTAGAAAATCTAACTGTATGCCAATCACCTCACTAGGTGCAAAACAACATCAACACAGTGTTTTCAGCAAGCTGTGTAAAGCAAAGGTCAATTTCCCAGAAGTTCTTAGCAGGCCCAGACTGCAGCCCATCTGAGATCCAGACCTGCCCTCTCCTACTAAAGAATAAGCTCTAAGAAGAGAAACTCTGCCTTTTATGCTTAGATTTTTTTCCCCCTTTGTCCAAACTGTATCCTCGGTGTCTGGCAGAGAATAAGAATTCGTTGAGAATAAGAATTTGTTAAGAATAAATTAAAATGAACAAGTACATATAAGACACAGCATTGTACAAGCTTTGCACAGAAAGACCTGGATTTTAATTCCAACTATGTTACCTTAATACAAAGTTGCTAAACCTCTGAACCTTAGTTTTCTCGTTTAGAAAACAGAAGCAATACTCATTTTACAGAAACATTGCATATAAAGCTTTTAGAACATACTTAAGTCACTCAACAGGGTTAGCCATTATTAAATTAAAATCCTTCTCTTTGGAGGCATTCTCCATTTAAATGAATAATATTAAAGTATGCATCAAACATTTATTCACTCAGGTACCTGAAGGTACATTCCATAGTAATTTATATGACTGGGGCAATGAAGAGGCACCAGGGTCTTCCTATAGTTGACAATACATTACTTCTTTCATTTTGTGTGGTAAAGCCCTAAAGTTTCAATCAAGCACTGGTCCATATTCTAGCAGATCAAAAACTTTGCTCTCTTTCTTCCTTCCTTTTTTTATTGGGCGGGGGGGAGGTTGGGAGAATGATGTAGGGAAAATATAGCTTAGACTTGTAAAACATTTCAACAGCATGAAAAGTCAGCTCTTATCAGAGACCCTCTTTATTTTTTTAAATTTATTTATTTACTTTTATTTATTTGGCTGTGTCAGGTCTTAGTTGCGGCACTCGGGGTCTTCGCTGCAGCATGCAGGATCTTTCGTTATGGCGTGCAGGCTCCAGATCGCGGGGGCTCAGCCGCTGCAGTGCACAGATTTAGCTGCCCCTCGGCATGTGGAATCTTAGTTCCCTGATCAGGGCTTGAACCCGTGTCCCCTGCATCGGAAGGTGGATTCTTATCCACTGCACCACCAGGGATGTCTGAGAGACCCTCTTTTTAATACTGCAGAAACTTAAGGTATTTCTTAGAAAAATACTAAGCAATTAAGTACTTTTCAAAGGCCCACTGAATACATGTGCTTCCAACTAACCATTTATTTAGATTCTCTAAAATCTCATTTCTTTATTAAATCTGACAGCCAGAAAAGAGGCATAGATCACTTCATCTAATTCTTCACAGAATGCCTTTACTAAAATTTAATGAAGTCCCAGTCCTGACGTGTCCTTCCTTTGGCTACTCAAGACTTACGGATTCAAAGGAAAGATACTAAACAACAGCCTGGGCTTTCAGTCTAACTCATTCATTCTTTTGTTTTTCAACTCCTTTCAGTTACATTGCAGAGTGCTCTTTCAATCAGTAACATTTAAATTTTCTATTCTATCACTTGTATGTACCACATGAAATGCACATTTTTAGATCTGAAAACAACTTCTTCAAATCAAATCAGTTTCTAATGACTTCAATCAAGGTTTGAGAAATCTTTAACCTAAATGGAGATTTCTCAGTGGCTGCTGGCTACTCCCCCAAAAAACTCATTTCTAATGAAGAGTTTTTAAGTTGTCCATTATTGATTAGGCCAGGGGTCAGCACAGTAAATATTTTAGGCTTTGGAGGCTACACACTTGCTATCGCACAACAGGCATATTTCATTTCACCGTGCTTTGCAACCCTGTGTCAGTGAAGGAGGCAGGGTGATAGACCTCTTGCACCAAACAGTCAAGTTGTGAATACAAAGGAAAAGGTCTTGAAGGAAATTAAAAGTGCTATTCCAGTGAATACGTGAATGATGAGCCAGCAAAGCAGCCTTACTGCTGATACGGAGAAAGTTTCAGTGGTCTGGATAGAAGATTAAACTAGACACCACATTCCCTTAAGCCAAAGCCAAATCCAGAGCCAGTCCCTAACTCTCTTCAATTCTCTGAAGGCCGAGAGAGGAGAGGAAGCTGCAGAAGAAAAGTGTGAAGCTAGCAGAGGTGATTCATGAGATTTAAGGAAAGATGCCATCTCCATAACATCAAAGTGCAAGGAGAAGCAGCAAGTGCTGATGGAGAAGCTGCAGCAAGTTATCCAGAAGATCTAGCTCAGACCATTAATGAAAGTGGCTAAACTAAACAACAGATTTTCAATGTAGACAAAATAACCTTATGCTGGAAGAAGATGCCATGTAGGACTTTCTAGCTAGAGAGGAGAAGTCAATGCCTGGTTTCAAAGTTTCAAAGGACAGGCTGACTCTCCTGTTAGGGGCTAATGCAGCTGGTGACTAGCTGAA